TCGGAGGCGTGCTCAATTTTACTCTGAGAGCAAAAAGCGGCAAGAGGTGAGCACTAAAATGGAAAGGGAAAAGTCTCGAGCGCCAGGTATTATCCGGTACATATGCAGGTAAGATGACACCCACGTACACTAGTTTCATATGCAAGGATATCCCAAGAGATTGGGTTAAGCGCCACAACCCTTACCCGTCAGTCCGCTGGAGCCAACGCAAAATCCACTCCACGAGGATGCCCAAGTCTTGTGAGAGTTCAAGAACTCTAGCAATCTGCTTTTGGATTTCTCCAGCACCGGAACCGGAGTCGTCTGTGCCCTGCATTTCCGAGTCGCCGCCGCTCCCGCAATTGGTTAACCCTGCAGTTTCTACAACCGAGACTTGGCCGTTCAGCCCGACCTCGACGCAGATCGCGATTTGGCAAGGTCTTTGGACTTGAGGGGTTTCCTCATTGGGAATCTTCTGGTCCGTGATCAACAACATCAAAGCAGGCGCTTGTCCAAGTTGGGTACGCAATGTGACATCCACTTTGACATCGTCCATAGGTGGCTGGGTGGGACTTGGTTTCCCGTTGAGAGGAGTCAGGCTTCCATGGCTGAATGATGGGTCGTTTCCTTCTGTTGTGCTCAGACCAAGCAGGAAATCTAGTCTACCCTCATTAGGGTTATCGTTGTTCAAGACAGTGATACCATCCAGACTAGCGGAATCGTTGGCCGCTTGGTGTGGGGGGGGTAAAGTTGTATCAGAGGTTGGAGCAGAGACTCCATTGGTGTTCCCTGCCTCCTGGTCAGGTACTTGAAATGTCTTCCTGATCAAGTTTGCTAGCATTGCATATTGTCGGAGGATCTAGATTGGGTCAGTATAGATGCCTACAAAATCAAGCAGGCCACAACATACCGGAAGAATGTCTGCGAGTTGCCGTGGGTGTGAGAATGGCAACTCATTGACAGTCAAACCAGAGCTAGACTCAAATGCTTGGAAAGTATAATTGTGCCGTTTCGTCTGTTGCTCGCCCTTCGAGTCGACTGCCAGGACCTGCATCTGGCGTTTTCTACGGCCAGGATGGGGAGAAGAGCCTGGCGACATGGATGAAGAATCCGATACCAACAAGGCGTCATATGTGACCATCTTAAAGTCCTGCTGCTGCAATTGCATACCGAGGTGTCGATAAATTTCGGAGGCGGCAAGGATGGGGACGTCGAGAGCCGGCTCCAGCTTAGCCACAAAGCGACGGTTAGGTGGCGATGACTCCAGCATGCTGGAGTCCATGGCCATGGGGTCGTGGTTTCCGTGCGTCAATCGCATGGTCTGTGGAGGATCCAGCCAGTTCACAGAGCCCGCGGCCCCATTTGAAGGAAGCGACTCGTTGCTTTCGCCTGCAGTAAATGCTTCATTCCCAACCCACTCCTTTGATATGCGAAGAGAGGGATATCCCACTTCACATTCGACCATGACGGCCCAGGACCTGCTTTGATCCTCCAGCTCAATCTTTGACTCGTGGTCTTGTTGCTCGTCAATCTCCATGGCGTCTGACGGTTGCTTGCTGTTCTTTACATCCAATACTTTGGCCTGTTCGACCCAGTATTCCAAACCAAGGCCAATTCGAGTGCCCTTGTGCATTCTGGGACGCCCGAGAACACCAGTACAAAGATGCTGGTATTCACCCCCGTGTTTTTCATTCTTGCTTTCCTCGACCCAGATCCGCTTAAAGTTCTCTTCAAGATTTTCCAATGCCTCAAAACAATTGACCTCCTGGCTGAGCTTGTCGAGCTTGGCAAGCCATTGTAGGTTCTCATGGAATTCTTGCAGTGACCTCCACTTTCCAATTTCAGCGTCCTCCGGGGACTGTGCAAGGGTTCGTTTCAATACTGCCGTAGCTTTATCGCGGCGAACACCCTCCGTGAATTCAGGCGTTGCGTAGCGTAGACTGACGTCTTTAACAACGTCAAGGCCGGGATAGAATTCGACTTCCAGATCGACGAAGTTGCCAGCGATGTTGAGGTTATCATCCTGCCAGATAGACTCAAAACCTTCAAGCCGGCTCAGTCGCTCCACGCTCTCCCGGCTAACTCCTCTTCCCGAAACGCGCGCGCGCAACAATTGAACGACCTCATCGATGCGATGTCTTTGCTCTTCGTCGTTGTCGCGCGCAACCCCAAGCTTGAGACCTTGCATCCCCAAATTTTGAATATCACTTTCGTTCATGCTCGTACCAAGACCATCGTGCACTGCGGGCGAAGGGCTGATTCCAGTGTACCCACCGAGTGCCAACAGAGCCGAAGGGGAGCTGAAGTTGACGGGGTCGTCAACCCCACTAGTGACGGCGAGGGGTGTGGAATACTGATGTGACGACACACTGTTCTGTTGGCCGTTGGCTGTTTGGGTTCTCATGGAAGGAGACTTGTGGGCTAGAGATCGGGAGAGAGGCGCGGAGGAGGGGTGGGGAGAAGACAGATGGGTCGGCGTTGCGCCAGGCTTAGCAGAAGGAGTCGCCATGGCGAGGGAGGTTCTGAAAGTTTCCAGAGATTGATTGAGGTTCAAAAACGGGTATCAAATGAAGAAATCGAAGGACAAAGCACAAGACTGGTATCCTGAATGCGACTCGATTCTCACCCACGCGGGTATGCGACAAAACGATTCGTGAAAATAAAGCGATCCAATGTTATCACAAGTTGAATGTCATGGCCCATCCGAAAACTCCCCCTTTCCCATGAAGTCTTGCACGAGCGCCGATGGTGAATGTCGCAGTCCAAACAGCCAAAAAGATTGGATCACGTGGTAGTCGTCATAGTGAGACTTACCGCCCGTATGCCATCATTTTGCAGGCAGAATACTTTCAAAAACGCCTATACACCGCTCTCCTCTCCGCATAGCGAACTTGGATACAATCGTTGGCTAGCTCATCTGACACTCGACATTTTTCAGACTTTACAACCATAAAGCCTTCGGATTCTTAGGACTCCATTGACATGTTCGCAACAAGATTGCTCAGCCGACAGGTTCGAGCTCCTCTAATGAGGACTCAGTTCCGCTGCGTATCAACGCTGGAAGGATCCCCATACATAGTACGCATTCTTTCAACTTCTCCCTCACTAAGGCCTGTTGAAAGGTGTGTTCAATTCTGACACCCTGGCAGTATGTACACCCCAGCAATGGACCAGCAAGTGGAAGCCATATCCTGTCATTGCTGCCCTCGGAGCCAGTGAACCCAGAACTGGCCATTGGGCTTACGACCCAACTCCCACCGACAACAGACACATTCAAAGAGAATCCCAAATTTTTGAACATCCTCCAAGAGGTGTGCTCTGAGCATGCGGTCGAAGATCCCGATGCCAAGTCCCAAGCTCAGGTCATGGTATCAATTGCCGGCGCGAACTTGAACTCAGGTGGTGTCTTAATGGGTGGCAAGCGTGGACGCAGACGGCGCAACGAGATGGGTGATTCAAGTGGCGGCGCAAGTGGTCAGGGTGGTGCAGGCTCTGGAGGTCGTGGTGGCTGGATCCATGTCTCTGACGGCAGGAGACCGCCTGACTATGGTCGAATTGCTTGGTATGTAGGATTCTGTTCTGATAGTCCGCAACCCGGCGTTTCTGTGAGTTGTACTGACTTAATAGGCCGGAGGATATGTTCGGAAGCCTTGAAGTTGATCCCAATGGTCAATTTGTTGGGGACAACGGAAACTATCAACCAAGTGGTATGCATTCGTCACCTGGGCATAGCGTTGAACCGAACTAACAGACATCAGGCACTTACCGTGTTGTGACACGGGATGGAATGTGAGTACATTTCCTTTCCCTGCTTGGATGAAGCTGTCTGGAAATTTCATAGATGCTAACAATACAATAGCTTTGGATTGAGCCCCTTCCTCCGAGAGAAACTTGTCCAAAAGCTCCAGGAACTCGAAAAATCCAGCTGAATATCCTTGGCATATTTCAAAGGAACTTTGTTTCACATTACTGTATAATAGATTATTGGCATATCTGCCTTCGCCACTCTGACATGACATTCACATTGATTTTGAGCTGATCAGGCTTTGAGAGAGAATGACAATGCTCTCTCTACTAGACCAAAATCCAACGCCTAGGTATTGATCACTTTTTGAAAAACTTCGTAATTGGCTGTGCCCCAGGCGCCGCTTTAGTCCCACTGGATTTCTTCATCGGACTGTTGTGAGTTGCACTTCTTAGTTTCTTCTTTTGTGGCGACGGATTTGTTGGTTCTGTCTTCGGTTTGGGCGTCGTGGTATCTTCTGCATCGCCTGTCCTATCGGGGCTATGCTCTCGCTTGATAGCCTGTGCCAGTTTTGGGGCCTTGTCTTCACTCCATTCGGTGTCTTTGGTAGCATAGTCATCTTTTTCCGATCTCGATTCCGGCGACACGGGTTCCTTCTTCGAAGCATTGGCGAAGAAGTTGGCAATATTGCTCTTGTTTTCCTTACTGTCGACCGGAACAATGAAGTTTGGGGAATTATTACCCACTTTCCCAACATCTTTGTGGACAGGGTAGCATTCAAGTTCGCCCTCGTATGGCTTGAGAATCGACTGCAGCTCTTTTGACCAACTGGTCCGGGCCGTATCTAGCCATTTGTTCATAGCATCGCTGCGAGGGTCCAGAATGACCGGCATGCGTTCATGCAAGAATTTTAGGTAAGAATTGGAAGAAGTCGTTATGATCGTGTAGGTATAAAGCTTTTCGTCGGAGCCTTTGAAAATTTAGCGATCATCGAGGCTCTGTTTCAAAATCAGAAGATGGATCCTACCTTCGTAAGAGACACAATCCCAAAGGCCGGCAAAGCACATTAAGTCCCCATCTTTGCGCTTCACAAAGTGAGGGACCTTTTCTTTACCCCCAGGCCCCTTCTTCAGCCATTCATAGAAGCCCTGGCAAATGATGATGCATCTTTTGTTTCTTTTCATCGTGGTCCACATCCCAGAGTCTTCGATCAGCGAGTCGTCGCGACAATTGATCGTCCGCATCATGGATCCATAATCCGGCTGTCGTTTTGTCCAGAATGGAATGAGACCCCATTTCATGCTCTGAAGCTTATACCTGACAGCTGAATCTTTCGAGGTCTTTGCTTCCTTTGGCTGATCGCTGTTGCACTTTTCCAAGGGATCGTGTTCTTCTTCAGCATTTGCCTCTTGTCCGCCATTGTCACGCTCCTTGGCTGGTCCTTCGGCGCGATAGACAGCACCAAAGTTTCCTGGGGCAAAATTGTACGTCTCTCGGACTGCCTCGTCTTCAGGTGCTTCGTCTACTTGCATGCCCTGCTCTTGCAGACGTTGCTGGACATATGCCAAGCGCTGGAGATCATCAGCAAGATATATATAGATGAAGACAGCGGCCACCTACCACACCCAAAGCATATCGCCCACACATATTGAACAACGCTCCAAGGTTCAAGATTCTCAATAGTCAGTTGTCAAAAGCTTGAAGCGGCGATGGTGGCTTCCAGGCAACATGGACGGGCAGATGGTGCATACTCCAGGCGACGTCATGCAGCGGAGCGGAGCTTGGACCACAAGAAAATCGACTTCGATTATCAACTCACTCCCGTCCCTCCCAGACATCAGTACTACACATTGCTTCTGGTGCCTTCGTATTCCACCAATTCTGCTTTCAATACAGGCGAATCACACAATCACAATGTTTCTCGCCGCATCACGGCGCACCGGCGCCAACGTCGCAAAACTTCTACAGTCACAACCTAAGAGCCGAACCCGCGCAATTTACACCAACACCACCACCCGGCCAACCCTCCAAAGCCAATTCCAAAATGCCAGGCCTCTCGCTACTCCTTATATCTCCGGCACACGACACCTCACAATCATGCAGAAGATCGGGCGCCGATACCGTGAAGCATCAAAAGGCATTTGGCGCAAGAACCCCGTCCTCATGCCACTAGCCATCTTTTCCATTGTCGGCGGTGCCTTCATCTTCGCCTATATCTCCTACGTGGAAGTGACGCGTGTCAACCCGCAATATCACAATTTCCCACCTCCGGTGGCCGATGCCCTCCGCACAGCTGTCTACTACACGGAGATCGACCTGAACCCACCCAAGGCGCTTAAGGCATACAAGGAGGCACTGCGGATAGCGGCTGAGCTAGATGTCCACCCGTTTTCAGACGAGGTGCTCGGCATCAAACTCCAGGCTGCTATGATGTTGGAAAAAGCCGGTTTGATGAAGCCGGCTATTGATGTATTGGAACGGGCAAAGGCCGAGACCCTTGCCTGGGTGGATGCCGGGCGTGCAGGCGATGCCGCAGCTGCCGCGGCAAAGGTAAAGGAGGCGCAAGGTCAAGCGCAAAAGACCAACTCCAATGTCGAAGTTGATACTGCAGCCAAGGAGGAGACCGTGCAGGACTTGGAAGCGCTGGCCCAGTACGAGCTCCGTCAGCGCGACAAAGCGCTCAAGAAGGTTGTTGGGATTATGATGAAGCTTGGCGAGCTTTATTCCAGCGAACACATCCAGGAGGATAAGAAGGCTGAGGCTGCGCAGGTCGCCGCCGTGGAGCTCTGTTTGAAGGAGATGCACCGTCGTCAAAGACTGGGACTTCCTGTCGGCAGCTCGAACAGTGATGATGGATCAGCAGGTGATGCGTGGTTGAACCTCACAGAGATTGCGACGGCTTTGGCTGAACTTGCCACCACGTATACCGCCAAGGAACGATATGAGCTGGCTATGCCATTGTATCTGCGTGCATTGGATTTGATCCGCAATGCCGAAGGTAGCGCCATTACCTGTAAGCAGGTGGTGTTGCTCAATGGGGTTGCATCCGCGCTAGTTGGTCAGGTTCAGGTCCCAGTCAAGTCTCAGCCTCAAGAGCCTGTTGCCGCGGCGCAAACCGTAGAGTCGGCCCGACAGTGGGCTCAAAAGGCTCTCGACGTTGCGGCGCACATTCAGCCCCCTGTGCGCGATGAGGAATGCGACCTTACTTGTGTCGTTGCCACTTACAACCTGGGTGAGTTGGCTGAACTGCAAAAGAAACCCGTTGTTGCCAAGCAGCGGTATACTGAGGCTCGGGAATTGGCCGACAAGATAGGGTATCAGGAAGGAAGTCTGATGGCCAAAGAAGCTCTGAAGAGACTTGGAAAGAAATGAGGGACTTCATAAGACGGCATTGATATGGCCCGATGTACATTAAGACAAATTACAGACAGAATCAACTCCTGTATATCCTACTACACGGCACCTGTAAGTGGTTAGATGGAGAGCGGATGGGCTAGCGATGGGGCACACTAGGTTGAGAGGGTGGATACAAGTAAAGCAGTTACGAAGATCTCCAGGAGGCTCAAGTATAGAGAAAAATAGGAAACATTTTGATGCCTTAACTGGTATTAGAACATCACATGCCGTGCACTAGAGTCCGAACATTCCGTTCAATGTAGACCAAGTATAGCTAGGCATGTCAGAAAACCTTCGGGCCGGGGACGACTTAGTCCCAGCTCGAAGTGCTTCATTGCTCGTGGCTCATACATCCCAAACCAATGCTCTTCTTGCCATATTTTTTGGACTTTTTTTCAATTCCCTTGTCAATAGAACAAAAAGAGGCTCCTCAAGCTCCGTCACAACAACTCAAATCTATGCGCGCGACATAACACCCCAGGCACGGATCTTGTTGTCAGTGTAACCAGCGAACAGAGTCTGGCCGTCAGCGGACCAAGCCAAGCTGATGCACTCGGGGTCACGGCTCTTCTTGCCCTTCTCAACGAACTCAGGCTTGAGCTCATCAACCTTGCTCTTCTTCTCGAGGTCGAAGATGGTGATGGAGCTGCTGGTGGCAGCGCACAGCCAGTAGCGGTTGGGGGAGAAGACGAGAGCGTGGATCTCATCGCCAGCGGAGAGGGAGTAGAGGTGCTTGGACTCGTTAAGGTCCCAGAGCATGGTGGTACCGTCCTTGCCACCGGAGGCGCAGAGGGATCCATCGGGGGAGATGGTGACGGTGTTGATGTAGCCGGTGTGACCGATGTGGTCGGTCTGGAGACGGCAAGAAGCGAGCTCCCAAACCTATACGCGGATATAATGTCAGCGTCATGAATCTCGGAATGATGTGAAAGTGACCATGGAAAAAAATTTCCGAGTCCTCCAATCGTTCAAAAACCAAAAGGGAAAAAATTCAAGAAAAGATTTGTTGCTATGCCCATCAGGCAAATTGGGTGAAAGTTGTCTCATGGCCCCGGAGGGCTCTGAAGTAGCAAATACGTTTATTGCAAACATCACGCGGGCAAAGCAGTGCGGGAGAAGAGAACTCTGTAGGAAATTTCGTAATCGATAGCGTACCTTGACGAGCTTGTCCCAACCAGCGGAGACAATGACGGGGTTCTGGGGGTTGGGGCTGAAGCGAACGCAGGAAACCCACTCGGTGTGGCCCTTGTCGGTGATGGTGTACTTGCAGTCACCGAGGGTGTTCCACAGCTTGATGGAGCGGTCACGGGATCCGGAGACGATCTGACGGTTGTCGGCGGAGAACGAGACGGACAGAACGTCGTTGGTGTGGCCGACGAAAGTGCGGGTGGTGTTTCCGGTGGAGAGCTCCCAGAGACGGAGAGACTTATCCCAAGAAGCGGACAGGGCGTAGGCACCGTCGGAGGAGATCACCTATAACGCAGACAAGACCAGCGGTCAGCCAAAACGGTTCCATCTTGATAGTTGTGCTCCATGCTTTTCCTCCAATCCTGGGTTGTCGCATCCAATTCCGGTTCATTCGGGGGAGAAACGTACACAGTCAGAGACGATGTGGGAGTGACCCTCGAGGCTGCGCTTGGGGTAACCGTAGGCCTGCTCATCACGGGTAAGGTTCCAGATGATCAGGGTCTTGTCGCGGGAAGCGGACAGCAGCATGTTGGGGCTATTATCAAACGTTCAAGTCAGAAGATTGTCCCATCAAAAATTCAATTTGCGCATTCGGAATAGGTCGTCCTTACTTCTCCAGGGAGGTGGCGAGAGAAGTAACCCAGCCATTGTGGCCCTCAAGGGTGCCGCGAAGAACCAGCTGCTCAGCCATGATGGGAATGAGTGATGAAGGAGGGAGGAGGATGGGCGGAGATTGTCGTTGACTCTGGGGGGTGAGTAAAATCGAAACCGGGAGACAGACCTGCCCGCTCAAGCCCTAAGCCGCTGTTGCCATTGGTGTGTGCCTTCCGCGGAGCCCTCATTAAGCGAAGGTCACCTGACCGCTATCTTATCGACTCCATCAAGTGGGGCCCGAGGCCTCATGCAGGACTCGGACATGATCTCGTACCATCATAGGAACGGAGAGTATTGAAATTGGATTCTGTTCCATATGCTTTTGGTGCTTTGCTCGCCTTCCAGCTGTGTCAGCTTGGTTCCAGCCTTGTCTTGCACTAGTTTCATCCAAATAAATATTTTTTTATACACGCCTCAAAATATAGTACAAATGTCAAGCTCGACGATCTTCATGAGCTTCGTCTCTCCAACTTAGTTGTCAAAGACCTGAACATCAGGCATCCTACCCAAACCGCCACCACCGGTCTTCTTATTCTTAGCTTTCTCAAAGCCAGTGGCGCTCTTATCACGAACATGCTCCCTCAGCAGGGTGAGCACTTCGGAATTCTGCCAACGTGTCGGAACGGGACGGTAAGCGGCTCTGAAGGCGCCAATTGTTTGCGCCCATTCGCCACTCTTGGCGCCGGTCTCCTTCCAAGTCTCGGTGATGGTGTCCTCCTTGGGAGTGGAAGCAGGAAGGTCCTCTGGGGCGTCCTGAGTCGCCCAGTAGTAGATGTCCCAGTCGTTCTCATCGAGGAAGCTATCGTACTCAACGAGCTGGTCATAGTTCATCTTACCCAAGTTGACATCTGCGAAGGTGGAGAGAAGCAGGTCTGACTCGAGGATTCCGCGCTTGCGACTTTGGTCTAGATAAAGTTGATTAGCTTATGGTTCTTGGTTGGTGGATGCACCGGTGACTACTTGTCAACCGGATGCTTGCATGGGTGTGAACGAACATAGAAGGCGTGCCCGTTTGGTCGCAAGCTCCTCTCCGACGCGCTTCAAGGGCTCAACCTTGAAAGTGATACCCTCCATCTCACCAACGCCAAGCTCGGGCTTTTGCGCACCATTGTCCTGGCGACCACCGGTGAAATGCTCAATCTTTCCCGGGTAAGGGTCGGCAGGTCGGTAATTGGGCTCGACCGAGTTCAGCATCTCCGGAGGTGACGGCTTCTCGCCAACCTTGGGGAAGTCTTTTGTCATGGTTGAAGTTGTGTTGGGCACGAATTGGTTGGGAGGCTTGTCGGCCTGGTTGGCGCGGTGCTGCTGTGTCGCCTTGGAAGCTTCATCGCTGGCATTTTGCAGGCGTCGAGCCGACGTACCGAACTGACGGCTTGATGATGAGAGTGTGCTAAAGTTGGATGGCACGGGTCGCGCGAGGCGACAGATTAATCGTGAAGCAGACATATTGCTCTACAAGAAGTGGTGTAATCACAAGTTCACTTGCAGGGAGAAGTTGGGGTTTAATGCTTCGGCTTTGACATCATCCGCTGTAATGTCGGGGAACCGAAAAGCTCCTGCAATGCCCGGTGTTTGCAATGTTTGCATCCAAAGGTAAACATCTTGTCTATCATAGGCTCATGGCTAGCTATAGATGCCACCTGGGCAGGGTTTCAAGATTGTTACATTTAGGAAGCCCTCAATACGCTGACTGCATGTATACAGGGATTCCAAAGTTGCTTGCCACCAGGGTCTCCAGGCGTCCTATGGAGTAGACCATACAATGATGGTACATTTTTGCTTTTCCAGGTGGATCATTGCACATCCATGCCAGCGCCCCGATCAAAGCTTGTATGTTCCACAATTGCAAGCTTACATTGTTCCCAAAAAAAACATATCTAGTGCATTTGACAACCAGATAAATATGCAGGAAAGAAAGAGTATTATTAGCGCCAGGCTACACAAAGCATGGTTTACATTTTATATCATTGAGATCATGACTGTTAGAACAGAATGCCACTCGACAAGTAAAGAAATTGGCAATGCAGCTACCAAACCAAAGAACCGTCAAAATATGCAAGCAACCCCGAGGCCGAAATCCTTAGATAAGGTGCTTAGATCTGTAGCCAAGTCAGTAACCAAGTCCCTTTCTGACACCAATTCCACACCGGAATCAACATACCTGAAGTAAGCTCTCAGGTAAACGACCTGCCAAGCACCAAGCCCAACAAGCATACCCATAGTGCCGAAAGCGAACCACTTGACTCGCTCGTTGGTGCTCTCGTTGGTATCACGGAGACGCTGCTCACGGGCGCGCAGGTACTCCATCTCAGTCACTACGTCGGCGACCATCTCCTCGATGCGGCGGAGGTCGGTCTCGACAGGCTTGAGCTTCTCCTGGTGCTGAATGCTGTTCCAGTCGCGGGCATCGGCGCCAATGTCGACGTCGAGTTCAATGGGGCGGGTGGGGTTGGAGATTCCGTCTGTGGTTGTTAGTCGGTGTTTCACGATTTGATCGCTATGTGCTTACTGTGGCCAGTGAGCTGGTTCTCGAAGCAGACGTCGAAAGCGGTGTCCGCGGGCGAGGTGAAGAGCTGACGGGTTTCACCGACAACATCCTTGGGTCGGCCGTAATCGTTGCCCATGGCATCCTTGATCTGTAATTCAAGATGGGGGGTTAACAGGGGTCCAAGTGCATGGTTCTGGGGTCTGTGGGCTTTGGGTCGTTCGGACGGCCGCGAGACTGCGCCTGTCGATTCTTTCGCTCGAATGGGGTACCACGTACGTGAATGTTGACCTTCTGTCCATCACCCTTGGTCCCGCCGACGGTGGCAGTAACAACGACTAGCTGGTCCTTTGAGACGAAGTTACGAATGCATCGCTCGTTCTTGCCGCCGCCTGAAGTGGCAGTGAGGTCGAATTTGAGGGCAGATGCGAGCTGCACGAAGACAAAGAGAAAGCCGAGAATGCTTCTCAGCGTAATTGGTGAGGTGCCCATGGTTGTGGCGTGGAATTGACGGTCGTAAACACGGATGCGTGGTTGTTGATGCCACCTGGTAAGGGGACCGATTACGGGATAACATTGTTCCGGCCATCCATGGATGGTCGATCTATACAGCATTAGTTGGCCACGGGTGCTCTGATATTTCGAGGTTGCTTCTTCAGTTATGTAGGATTATAAGATTACTTCGTTTATCTGGACCATTTATCTCAATGTCACTGTATCATGATGTAGCAATCCTAAGTGAATGGTTTGTGATATTTGTTTCTGGGGGTCGATGACCCAAGGTGAAGACAAGCATGGTATCTCTAAATCCACAAAGACAAAACATAAGTCGCCATAGAAAGAAAAAAGCCAACGTCCATGACTCGTCGAATGATTCAACTTGGATGATGGGAGCAAATGATAGATAAACGGCGCAAGAACATGCAGGCGATGAGATGGGAAAACGGCCACCTGGTTATAGCCACAGAACAAAATGGTAGGAAAACATGACTCTATTTAGACAGCCCGAGAAGGCAATATGAATGGGGGTGCTGTCGCACAAACAAGAAAGACTGAAGCGATGGACATGATATGTAGATCGTTAGATTAGGAAGAAGAATGAACGCTCAGTAAAGCAAGACACGTGGGGAGTAATTCGAGCTTAAGCCTCTGTCTTTTTTCGGCGTGTGAAGAATCGAGCAAAGCCGCCGTCCTTCGGCTTGGGGGCCGGTTGAGGAGGGCGCGGGGGTTCCGAGTTTCGCAGGAAGTCTGCAAGGTCGCTGGTATCGGTTTTGCGGTTTGAAGCATTAGGCATAGCGCCTTGGTAGCGTTCCTGACCAACCTTTGCAGAATAGTTGGCAGGGGCCTTTGGAGGGGTGTTTTGGGGGCGGAGGGGGTTCTGCGTGCCACGAAGCAAGCGAGCTTTCATCCCGGAGGAGTTGGAAGAGCCATTCGAGGCCGCCGCAGAAGAGAAGAATGGCTGAGGAGGCTCATCGGATGAGGGAGGAGGTGGAGCACTGCGCAGGAAGTCCATCATGCTCTCTTCTTCGCGCTTAGGCTTGGGGTTTTCTTCTAACTCCAGAAGCTCTTCCAATAGCTCGTCATCGTCATCGTCGTCGATGGCATAGGGGTCGGGAACGCGGCGTTGCTTCCGGGCAGGAGGCTGAGGTTCATCGAAAGCCATTGCGCTGCCCGATGCCGTAGCCTTATTTTGGTTCGCCGAGTCCAACAAACCAGTCCGCGAACCAAGTGATGACATAGACTTGTCTGGAGTGGTGCCGTTGCCAGTACTGGCGATGGAGCTAGTGGCGTCGATATGAAGATCATCCGAATCAATGGTGTTACGGAAGGGTGCCACAGTGCGAGGGATCCTGTGAGCACCAGCTGGCATTGGGGGACCCTCGCGAATGAAGTCGATGAGGTCCGACGATGATCCATTGGTCTCAGCGGACCGAGCCTGTAGTTTGGGTTTGCTACCGCGAGACGTAGCTGTGCCGCGAGATGCGGCTGACTGGCCAGAGGGAGGACGAACAGGCTTCGGTCGCTCGGTTGAGGCTGGGGCCTTTGGTACGACAGAGACCGGGCTCTTAGGCTCTGCTGAAGCCGGAGTCTTAGGCTCGGGTGACGTACTAGCAGGTGCATTAGCAGGTGCACTGGTGGACGCACTAGTGGGCGCAGGTGGAGGGCCAGTCAACCTCATGAATTCTGCAAAGTCACTCGTAGAGTCTGCAGGTGCCCGCTCATCTCGAGCTTGCGCCGCCTTCATAGACCTTGAGGTCGAGATTGACGAGGTTGGGGTCATTCGAGCTGAACTTGGAACGTGCTTAGACTCGATGGATCTTGTACGAGAAGCTGTGGTCATGCCGCCACTGCTGCTGGTGTTCGCGGTACCGGCGGTTGCCCCAGTTGCCTTGGATGAAACTGAAGCACGAGCACGGTGCTTCTCTTCGCTGGATGTGGAATTAGCCTTCAAGGGCTCGCTCGCGCTATCGGGGCCTAAAGTATTAGAGCGAGGGATCGGGCGATCGGACGATTCTGGGAAGGACATCTCCCTGACACTCTTGGGAGTGAGGGTAAAGTGGATGGTCTCGTCGCTGTTGATCAACTTGTCCAAATCGACAATCTCATTGTCTGCCGAATCTCCACTGGCGCCAGATGCACGACTCGTCTCAGACGAGCTGCGCAAGCGGGTCGAGTGCCCGTCACCTTGTGGCCGGCCCATGAGGCCTTTCAATCTGCTAGACACTTGTGATGTTGTTGAGCCAGCAGTCACTGGCCGCTTGATCTCACGAGCACTGCCGAAACTACCAGAGCGACGCGAATGAGAATGGAGAGAGGGAGAACCTGATGTCGAGGGCCGAGGACCCATGCGCTGTACAGCGGCGCGGTCACCAGAGGGGCTCAGGTTGCTACCTGCGACAACCAAGGGAGCAGGCCTTGGGCGGATCTTTGACCGTTGTGAATCGCCTGAAGAAGAAGCTGGGCGGGAGGTTTGGGGGGATCCTTGAGACTTTGAAGTTTGAATGTCTTCTTTACTCTCGGTGGGAGACCCACCAGGGGTGGAAATCATCATCGTCTTGTTCTGATCTTGATCGGTCGCATCTTGATCAGTAGAAGTGACAGCCTCGACGGGAGTCACAGATGGCGGCGTGAACTCCACCCCTTGCGTTGGGATCTGCCCCTCCGCGGCATGCATTTGAGAGTCACTAGTCTGTGGAGAGATCGACCGTGCCTGCAATGATAGGATATCCCTAGAGGGCTGCTTCTTTGGTCGCTGGATCTCCGAAGTCAATTTAGGCTTTTCGCAGGTCCCGGTGCCTTCAATAACCTCCGGGTCTTCCTGATTCGGTCGATCACCCAGGGACGCGATGGAGATGCGGGCACTATTGGTTTGATCGGTCAAATCCTCGTCGTCCGCAGTAGCACGCAAGGATGCAATGGTTTCATTGACCGCTGGAGGCGCCACGCCCTCTTGCTGAGTCGACAGTCTTGCATTATCGGAAACTTCTGCAGCCTTGGACGATCGCGAACTTTCTGGATCTGTGGTGATCGCAATTCCAGGGGTAGCCTCCACTGCATCCTCCACTGCATCCTCGGTTGCATCCACAAATTCTGCAGACTCGTCATCTTCGTACATAGTCTCGAGTTTCTTTTTCTCGGATATGGTGGGCGAGGGTTGGTCTTCGGGCACCACAACTTCCTCCTCGGCGGGGGGAGGCGTTTCAGCCGGCAAAGACCTTGTGCGATGGTGACGGAATGACATGGGGGGTTCGATGGCCGATGCGCTCATAGGCGAGTTGGTTGCCGAGGTGGGAGATCGCGCGAGAAGGGAGGGGGATGAGAAGACCATGAGACTGCGCGGTCGCACTTTGTGGGCAACGACGGCTTCCATGGTCTGCACCTCACCTTCCAGATCGCCAACATAACCAGGGACCTCGATTTCCTGGACATCGAAATCGCTCATCGGCAGAGGGACAGTGGCGGGGTCCAGCGGTGGGGGGACATCCACCGGGGGAACGGGCTCCCTGGGTGCAGGTGGCTCTTCAATGGTCCCAATGCTGCTCTTCCGGCTGTTTGCCAGGGAGTACCCGCGGCGACGAATTGATTCGCGAGACAAAGTACGAGAGATCGTGGTACCACGTCTGCGCTTTCTCCACGTCCGCCACAACCGACCCAGGGTCGCATTCAGGGCTAATTTCTCCATGTCGAGATCTTCCACCACAAGTCGAGTGATTCTCTTCCGCTCTTCGTCAGGTCCGATAAGATCATCATCATTAAGCTGTGCCAACAATCGAGATCGCGCTGTTTCCCCGGCAATGACGAGCGCACGTTCGCCGATGTATTCAATAATCGAGGTGAGGAAGATAGACGCGGCGGGTGTGATGTTATCGACATGGCTGGTGAATCGGCGGGGGGCCCCATCGTTCTCTCCAAGACCATCTTGCGCAATGAAGTCATCCTCGTCATCCTCCTCCATGTCGCCGAGGCGTGTGTAGACCATACATCTTAGACGGGTCAATTTCCATGACCGCACCAGATCAAAGTCGCCGCCTGGCTCTTGACCACCGCGGAATTCAGCTTGTTCATCCTCCTCTTCGCCCATATATTCACTCAATTCTTCTTCGGCCGCAGCCACGACCTCTTGGGCAAGGCGAGGCTTCAGCACATCGGCCATGGCGGGGCGAATGGACGCCATTTGTGTTGATTTGGATGAGGCAAGAATGTTGTATAAAAGGTTATCCAGGAACCCATTCAGGAGCGAAAGTGCAGCGGGTGTCACCAGTGCGGTAGCACTGTTGCCGGTCATCTCATCCTCGGTGACGAAGTCGGCAGCGTTGAACTCCTGATCAGCGGAGATGATCTCTGAAGCTGCAGCGGCCGAGATGAAAGCGGGAGACGGCCTCACGGTTGGCGGGGACATGAGGTTGACTCGGGAGAACTGCGAGTCGGTGGAAACGACACTGGGGCTGCGTGAGCGGGACGACACGGCCCCGGCATCCAGGAAGTCGGGTGGTTTGAAGGACTGCATGGCGGAGACTGAGCCCGAGTGCTTATTTAGGGTTCTCGAGGGCTCGGATTCTCTTTGTGTCGCGAACCGATGACGGGGAAAACGCTGGATAGGAACCAAATTTCTAAATCATCCTATGCGCGGCGCGGGGGAGAGAGTCAGCCTGACACCGTCCTGTCGTGGAAAGCTGACCGGGTGCAATTCGGCCGGCGCAGTGTAATCGGCGCAACGTCGCCCAGGTCGCCGCGTGACGAGAGACGGTGGGTTTGCAACTTACCCGTTTCGATCAGAGATGCGATCAGTGCTCATGCCGCATTGGAACGGGCAACGGCGAGGGTGCTGGTATATCGTGAAGCAGGGTGAAAGAGAAAGAGAGCAAGTCAGGAGTAATTATTCAGTCCGCGTTAGTGGAGACCTTTGGAACATTCGGGGTCGACTACCGAATAATTTATGGGGCGGAATACGCTATGCAATCTTACATACAAATCTGTGAAGACCCCTGTACCTTTAAGCACTGCTGAAACGCCTCATTTCGTACTCGTAGATCTTACGGGATGATACGGTGTATGGACTACTCCGTACTTCCATGTCACTGCATGAGATGTATACTGTTTCGTGCAGTGTATTGGACATGGAATGGACTTGGACTTAAACCATGGAACAAGTAACAAGGAACAGAGAAAAAACCGATAAATTACCCACGTTGGGCCCCAGTCCAGGGGAAAAGCGAAATAATGTTCGATCGACACGCTAAAATGGCCCCGCTTTGCCTTTTGGTTTCAGGCCCCATTGCTCCGTGGGCTGTCTACAGCCAATCATCTCACATCATTCCATGGATGCAAAGTGGAGACTGGTTTGCCTTTGAGGCCTTGCCTTTCTGGTCCCTGCTATTGAAGGGGATCTGACGGTGAAAGAAGAAATTATCTGGGCATTGTGTCTTTGCTGACGCTCAAAATCAAATCGAACGCCTAATCTAAATTTGAATTGTGTCCCGACAATTCAGCTGTGACCCGCAGGGCACCCAGTAGTGCGGCTGCTAGCGCATAGCATCCTTTTTCCACACGTTCCTCAGCCGTTCCACGGGTCCCTGGAACGCACGAGGATAAGCCTGTGGCGCAAAAACCTTGGAAATGCTACGCATACCCGATCCCCATTTTCGAGTCTCGACAAACCTAACACTATTTATTGATTTGCTCTATCTTATTTTGCGATCTGATAGCGTTGGATCTACGGAGTACAGTAGAGGGGTTCGATGCTTTAGATCATACACGAGTCAGCCTTGTGACGTGGTACGGAGTACCTGATCTGAACCTTTCATCTCCCAACTTTGGAACCTCCAATCAGCGGCATTCCCGATCTCCCACGCAATATATTAGATTGATTGAAACAGCCGGACCTGCGAATGAGGAGCTGAAATCGCCATGGACTCTGTCCGCTATCCGATCCATGGTCAACATGTTTACATATTGCTCCGAGCTTGTATCGAACCTCGATTTCATCAACGTTGGGTCAAGTGGATCATGGTGCGATGAGCCATAGGCTAGCAGCAACTAACGATAACAATGGATATTGTTGCGATAGGCTTACCCAGATGAGGCATATCCCACGATCGGCACGAATGACTCGGGTTTCGCTCACTCCACATCCAGAATTTGGTACGGATAAGTGAACCGTCAACCATCGATGATAACATGAAGGTATCAGGTATGTATACAGTACTTATGCAGCACACAACCCGCCTCAAGTTGCATCTTGATCCAATTATAGCAGACATCCAAGCCACATCTGCACTCCATACGCTAAGGCCCCTTGATATGACCAACTACACCAATTGTACATCGAAACATATACCGATGGCTACGGCAAGCCAGGACGTACAGTACACTTGCCCAATGCAAGGAAAACCCTGGACCCTCGCCTCCAGCTTAGACTTCGTAGGCAACAATCTCATGCATGAGTAAAAGAACGTTGTCCTCCATATACATTCGTACTACTCGTACGCATTTCGTACCAGTTGACTAGCATTTAACATGTAGCCCGCATCCCCACGACCCGCAGCACGCGTGGCTATGACTGTGATCGCCATAGAAAACCTGGTTCCCCTGAAGTTCGGGACTCCCCCTGACCCTGACTTTAACTTGGGAAACTCTGCAGACCACAATCTTACTACTAGCACTAAACGTACTCCATCTTTTCTCCAGCGCTGGAGCCAAGTTACTCACTCCATGTGGGAACAGTCGGTCCTTAGCTGTCAAAAACCGCATGGCAACCCTTCCGTCTCCACAATTTAGCGTGCGGATGATCCAATTCCGCAATGATCGCCAACTGATTTATTCGCTAAGATGATTTTTACGCAGCGGCTCTGACAGAACTCGTAAAGGGATGCAATGTCTGGACTGACAGTGTTTCATGGTACAATACCATTTCAAGGAGCATACACACTGGACAATGGCTCGTGGTCGAGATTTTTGTCTTTCCATTTCAGGGCTTGTATCTTCCCGCTGAGTGGTCCTGTCACCTGTGACTGGGTTGACAAGGGCGAGGACTATACACTACAAGGGTCAATAGCTGGCAAAAATTTGGAATATTATCAAACTTACGGACCGAAAGGTCTCGCAATGCTTTTCAGATCCCACCTCATTGAGGGGAGATTTGCCGTATTGACCTGGAGAGGGGCAAGGAATTCCGTCTTTGAGCTTCTGTCCCTCAAGATTAGGAGCCTATGGTGCTGGGTCCGTTGGTCAAGAGCTTTAAAGATCGTCATTGCTAGGATGCTGGACACCGATGTTGTTAAGTCTCTTGGTGATGAAATTCACCATTGGACACTTTTAATTGCTCAAATCCGTTCCATTTCGCTACAGCATATTCTGATGGAGTACTGAGCTATGAGAGGCTATTCACATTGTTATTTCCTGATTCTCTAGGAAGTGTTCTCAACTAAGAGGTTCTGGAAATCAATCGCTGGCTTATCATTTCCAAGGTTGTTGTTGATGTTCGAGCGACCACACCAAATATGTCGATCTATTGATCAGGTTACACTCGATGGTGAGTTTCCAATGTCGATTTCTCTCAATTGGTCCAGCAGAATGCCTTGTTCTCTCTGTCCTATCAAAGGCTAACCATCGTTCCAAGATTCGTCCAAAAGAGGAGGGCCCAGAAAATGATGTCTACGAACCAAGCATTGTGTAATATTATATACCTAGGTAGTAAGCAAGTCTGTGGGGCTCGTTCATGCAAGGCATACATCTACACCATATGTATAGTACAAGTCTGGGGTGGAGTGGTTTTCCGAACACTTTTGAAAACTCACTGCCAGGGTGAGAGCCTGAGTCTGAGCGCCCGAATTCAAGCGACGGTAGCTCAAATAGGAAATTCCCAGTCGCCAGGGGAAATCTGATGCATGTGTACATATGTATGCATATATCATATGCACATTTCCACCAACTGGATGTTCTACGGTTGCAGTTTAGTATGTATGTATAACGTGCGAACATGAGAGACTTCGGGAGTGATCGTCCATTATCCCCACTCAAGACTTGGATGGATTGGAAACAAGTTTAGGTTTCTTCACCGCATCGCCCTCCAGGTAGAGAGAGCCATAGCCCCTTTTAGCTCGAGCCTTACACAATCTGCTGGTCCTCCGTATGGTATTAATCTTTTCGGTGGTTATACTAAGTATAGTACTATATTTTCTACTGTAAATATTCCTTCTTGTACGAATATAAGAGTAATCAGGCCTGCGTGGTACATGTAGTCTGTGCCTTCATCGTTAAGATCGGCATTTAAAACGGTGGGTGGACAAGACCTCTGTGGGGGCTGTACACATTAGTAGTACTATCTGTACGTACTAGTAATGCAGTGCGGTCGATATCCTTTGTAAGATTCTGTGCTCCATCTACATATTCACCCGTCCACTCCATGATTACTCCGTAAAGACCGAGGCATTCGGAGTGGGTTCGAAGACGGGTCCAGGAATCCATGACCTCGGGATACGCCCACTAACTCCGTATGTGTTGGACATGAATCTTGCATGGTTTGGATACAATCACTTTACTCCGTACTTTCTGTCAGTCTGAAACCTCACCTACTCCCGAGGTCCGTACGGAGTGATAGACGTAACGTGAGCCTACTGCAAACTCTCCTGGACATGTTCTCTTTCATAGATTTCCGAACACAATTTGCACAAGTCATCGCTCCTTCCGAGGTCTGCTTCTCGAACAGCCAGAATATCTCGTTTCTTGTCATGATGTACCAGACATATTAGGAATGCGAAAAGATAAGCGGTACACAAAGCCCTGGAGGCAGTGTCAGACATTTGGAGCCCTGTAATACCCACCACTTCTATCATTCCTATCCACGAACCATGCTTCCGCACCCACGTACGCCCTCCCCGGGCCCTCCCGTTTCCCGAGAATGGACCTCTCGGGACCTATCTATTCAAATCCACACCCTCTTTGACGCTGGAAGAACGCGTACACAAATCAAAGAGCAGTTGAATGTTTCTTACAACCGCATTGCATACTGTCTTGCTCGGGGGCATCCCACACCTAATAAACCAAGAGGTGCCGCCCCAAAGTTGACAATTTAACAAACAGACGATATTCTTAAATACATCACCAGCAGTGATGAAACACGTCGAATGCGCTACTCCGAGGTGATCGCAAACTTTGGTCTCGATATCCACCCTAATACCCTCAGTCGTGCACTTTCAAAACGTGGTTACCGACGTCGGCGCTGATGAAATGACCACATATTTCGCCGGAGAATTGGGGGAAACATCTGATATCTCCCCATGAACCCTGATTTTGATCTCATAAATACATATTGGACCAATACTCTGTGGACCGACGAAATGTATTCTCATACGTCAAGCACATTAGAGTATACTAATCATGTACCATGTCAACTGGTGGGGTTTGCAAAAGATGAGACGAGTCGAAGAGTACCAGCACACTAGTACATGCATACTGTGCGAAGTATGTACTCATTCGCTTCCAAGGGTTGACTTCACCCACTGGCCAGTTTCAACGTTAGCAACTGATGTCAGGATCCGGGCTGAATTCCACTCGATACACATTCTGAGGTCTTCGTAGCATCCCTGGACATATCACTGGATCTCTGTACGCAGATACCCTCACGACCATGGAACCACACGATGCAATTATCTTCAGATTCGACAGCCTGCCTAGGCACCTGCACATGCTTCGACGTGGGAGTTGATTCCCAACAACTGGCGAGTTACGGCCTCGGGGTTTGGATATCATTTTACGAGGGTGAAATAGAAACAAGAAATTACATAGCAGTACAAGAGCCATGCCAGCAGGTGGATAATTCTCCACTCGTTGTGGAGGGGTGGATTGGAGTCATCAGAAAATTCTCCTATAGGACAAATCCGTTCTCTTTGGAGATTTTATACATCGTGCGTCCTTAGTCGGCTCAAGCGTACTCCGTACTACTAGTACAGTACTCCATAGAGAGTACTCTGTACCAGTAGAGACTTATACCTAGGTACTTTTGCATGTATGTACTAATAGTACGGAGTACGTTTCAAGCATCTGACCACCCTTGGCCCACCAATTCATCCACACCCCATCTGACGGGAAGGAATCTCGGAACAGCCGGACTTGTGGCGTCTAGATGCCCATTTCGGGCCGCGAAAAAGGGATTGCATACGCGTGTCAACGTTTCGAGGGGGCTCCATGGCTAGCTGAAAAGAGATAGGTGCATGGAGTGTCAGGGGTTGGGGATTGTGAAACGCTAGGCTCGCGGTGCTTAGTTCTGGGTGTTGCATATGTGGTGTGCTTGGAATATTCTGTTCGAGTTTGAGCTTGTATTCATGCCCATTGGGTGGCTTTGCCGGGTGTTGCAAATGTGTAGCTGGCGCCTAGGCCCTGTGAGTTTTCATTGCCTGGTTCGTTGTTTGTTGATCGACTGGAACATATGATTACTTCTTGGAGCAATTTCCAAGGCTGGAGTCAAGAATGCATGTATGACTTTGCAGGTCTGGCCAGACCCAACATGGCCATTGCAATGCATGTCATGCTAGCCGGTACCTATACTAATTGACGACCTCTGGAGGAATGATACAGTTTCAAGTTGTTTTTGAATTGTAGTACTAGCAATCACTAGCTTACTCGGGGAAATACATGAAGATCGTGAAATCCAGACCGAGAGCGATGTGCGAAAAAAAGTGCTTTTCCTGGCTAGATAGCCTTCCCGAAATTCCATTGAGCCCACGCCTGATCCAGAAGGATTGCAGAGAACGGGGCTTCTCATAATCGTAAAGTCGTAGTGTGTTGCCTTTTATGCACTGGCGTCTTGAGACCGTGCAGGCAGTGTTTTAGTATCGAGCTCAGATACAATGCTACCTGCAAAGAGGGTTAACTCCTCAGGAGCGACGTCAACTAGGCCGTCCATCAGCCGTTCCAGAAGGAACTTTTCAATCTTGGTCAAGAGTGCTCGGTGGTGGTCCAGGTCGAGTGAGCACGTGATCGAGTCATTCTCTTCGACTTGCTCTTCCGCGCGGAAGGAGATCAGCTCGTTCCACTCGTCATCGGCGAGAAGGTTGCGGAAAGTGCCAATGACATGACTAGAGATAGTATCGAAATAAAGCGCAGGCGCATCTTCGGGACTCATGCCATCGATATCCTTGCCCAGGCGAACGTGGTCAACGTGAGACCGGAGATAGGCCTCATACTGTTGCTCATATGTCTTGTTGGTGATGCCATGGATGCCATTGATGTAGGCGAGGAAGAGGCTGCGATCGAGATCGACAGCATCCCGCGAGAACTCGTCTGGTTGAGTGACAGATTTGCGGACATACTCCTTGGGACATTCTTCTTCTTCGTCCTGCTCGTCTTGGATATCCATCTTGTCGAGTTGATCCAGGAGGGTTTGGGTACCACTGGTGTTCCGTGCAAGCAACATCATCTCATGACAAGTCATTTGGTGGTCATCTTCATCATCCGATACGTCCGGGCTGTCGATGTACTGCACATCCGGGTCAAAGCGCACGGAATTTTCCTCGAAGGAGATGAATGCATCATCGAAAGATTCTGTGTGATCTTCGTGCGTCTCAGGAACATCTTGAGAAGTTTCGCCATCCCAGACTGAGAAGTCGGACATATCGTCATCTTCCTCCTCTTCGTCAGATAGCGCATCGTAATCCGAGTCGATTCCATCCGAGCTATAGCCCGACTCCGAGTCGGAATCCTCGTCAGACTCCTCGTCAGATTCAAACACGGTAGAGGGGTTTTTGAGTATCGATTTCAGGAAAGGGCGAATAGATTGCTTCGCGGCGACAGTGGCAGAGTTCAGCTGACCGGGAGCGGTACCATTTGATGTGACTGATACCTCGTCCGAGCCATAGCAACTGTCGTGGGAGAAAGACATTTCAATGTTGGAGAAGGCTGACGATGTGGAGCCCCACGAGCCTCTGTGGGGGTTCGAGGTGCTCAGTTGCGTGGTAGTTGCGTGGTCCATGGCTTCGGCAAGGACGGTTTCTTGTTCGTGATATGTCGGATTGCTCAAAGTATGACGTCCGAAAGGGTTCCGAGCCCTGTGATGGGAGGACTGTTGAGCGACCAGAAGATATGACTGTTGGTTGTGGAAAGGTCAAAGGTTTGCGATCAGTTGATCGAGATTGAGACAAGGCAAAGGCAAGGGCATCGAAGGCCTGCAAAACACGGAGAGAAGTCCATGGTGAGGCTAACTGGAAGCTTGCAAGAGCTTAAGGAAACTTGACGGGGTTGGCCCCAGCAAGAATGTAAGAAGACATGATTGTTCGATGATGCTTGATGACTAAATGTAGGAGTGGGCTTCCTTGCCAGTCTGGTGGGTGGACCAACAACGAGGCTGGTAGTATTCGCAGTAGCTCGAAACGAGGCGTTTTCGGTCACGGAGGTAGCGGAAGTTGATGGTCTCGTCGAGATGCATGTAGAGTGGGAAGTAGTGGCAAGGGTGAAGTTGCGGATATTCGCGCGACGCGGGGATGACGGCGTTGGAATGTTGCGGGGGCAACAAATCTCGTGACCGCGATGAAGAGTATCACACAGATGGTCTGCGTGAAGGGAATCGGAGAGCGAGTCGCGAAAGAAGAGAAAGGGAAGTCGGGTGAATTGCCGACGTTCCGCGGGGTGTGCGACGAGGGGCAAAAACCGGGTTGAGTCACGTCCGGAAAAGTGACGTTGAGCAGGTGAGGTCGAAGTGAACAAACAGGGTCTGCAAAAAGCAGAGACAGAGAGATGGATTTAAAGGTCCAAGGTCACCATTCAAAGGGGCCTGGGGAGGAAGAAGAAGGAGAGAGGAGAAGAACGGGTTTCTCGCCGTCTCCGTCATCTGACTCAGCCTTTGTGTCCCGATCCCATTTTGGGTCTTCTCGCGCATTCGGCCTGGTTTTCAAGGTTTCCAGATCCTTCTGCTCGACATTCAACGTTCTACTGTACTCCTACCCGAGAGTGTACGATTGTTCTGACATGGTGGTTCTTACGGACCACTCTACTGGAAGATTGCACCGTGTGTACGGAGTAGTGTCCCTGCCCCTTTCCCTGAGTGCGCTTCATCGCACTTGTCGGCCTTTGACCGTAGCCGACGGCTATACGCACCTCCGCCACTTTGCTTTTCCTTCTGTGCGACTCAAATATTGTTCCCAAATATTGCTCTCAAAAATCAATCACCTTTTAGGCACATACGGACGCCTTATTGATCATGCTGCATATATTGTTAATGCAAGGGTCTTCGGGTTGTCCTCGCTAACACATCAGGTTGGGCACTTGACTTTTCATTGGACTACGAAATGTGTTTCATTCATCCAAGTCTACGGAGTAGTCGTTTTGTTTTTGGGCCGAAAGATTGCCTGCACCGATACCTTGGATTGATTTTGCGGAATTTACACCAGACGTGCTTCGGCCCTAGCTAATTTACCTGGCTGAGCCTCGGCAAACACAACGCTGCGCAGGTCGACCCATGACCATATGGCTTGCCCTCCGTACAGAGTACAAAGACCCAACGCGATTTCGTCGACTCTTTGGCCATGTGTTGGCCTTGATCAGTCTGGAATTAATCCAAATGATCTCACAGGGTACTTCGTACGAAGTGCACCGAGCAATCAAATATGCGCGACTGAGATACGACTTTCAAGTACAAACTACGGACCACTCAAAAAGGAGCAAAATGAAATATTGACTTACCACGCATTATGAACCACCTCTTTGAAGTACCACTGATTCTAACAAAACAAAACCCCTTGGCCAACTGCCCAGTCATGCCTTCCGAGCAGATTTCAAAAAGGAAAGGAACACCTGATCCTTCCAGAAGCGAGTTCTCGTTTTACTGCATTCGAACATATGGGAAATGATACGCCCTTTGATCATGTGCTCCAAATATAGAACATGGATAAGCAATTGGACGATCTTCGGCAGGCCAAGGGCTCCAAATCTTCCGATCAGGGGCGCTAGCGCTTCCAGAGCTTCCAGGGCAGATCTGTCCTTCTCGAATGCCCCCAATTCTTCGGTGCATTGTTCAAGCGGGCGTTGCATTCCGCCCAGCCTCTGCATTCCGATCCACATTCCTGACCGCTTATCATGACCAGCACATTGGCTCTCGCAATATCATACCCACTGCAAGAATTGTATTGACAAATGGTGGTGGACCGGATGGCACTGACCTGGGCGCTGCCGATCCTACCGTCACCCAGTTCTCTTTGAGCGATTGATGATTCGATTCACACATCATGACGCTTACACTGGGGAAACCCCGGTCGATTCACGATTCGGGCTTCGGCACGTACTGACTTTTTGGCCAATCCGGAATTGTTCGGACATGGACTGCCGGCCCTTGTTCATCTGAGGTGGCAAGCTTGCGACCTGTTCAGGTTCACGCTCGACATGTCTGGGTGTCCTCCCCAGATCCCCTCACACGAGCTGGCCTGGCCCATGCTCTACTGCTTCTGGACTAGTGGATTAGGGTTACATTCTCCTGGGTGGCCGTCGAGCAAGCTTCTTTAGAATTGGACAAAGATTGACAGCTCCATCAGCCCCTCCTAAGCTGACCATTGGCCCGAGGGACATGCGGATCTTGAATCATTCTTCCGGGGGGTTGGTGGGGTGGGCCGTAGCCAACCAGACCCTTCATGGTACATTCCTCGTCCCATCTTTAGAGCTGGAATGTGCCTCAAATACTTTGAGGCTGGTGTCCCTGGCAGCCATTCAAATAGGGCTTGCATCTGTTTGTTTGCTTTGCTTTCTTTGCATCATCTGCAGTGTTTTCTTTGATTGACAACCCATCAAACAACACATTTTGCACCCTTTGCACTCTTTGCATCTTTCGGACACTCGGGACGATCTCCGCATTACCTTCCGGCTCTAATCCTAAGACCTCTGTGGTTGACCAATCACAACCAGTCCTTGGACTCTCAGTCGCTGACTACACTATTGCAATTAACTTCGCCGCAAACGGAAATCCCGACACGATGTTCGCCCACACGTACGACCATTCGTTCAATGACTTGTTCAGCCAATACGTCAATATGGAGACCTCAGCCGCCGATGGCAAAGATTCGTCAATGCCCAGTGATCTTGATCAGTTGTTCCCACTTGATTCGCTCTCCAGTGACTGTGGCGATCTCTCTCCCCCCGTCTCCACTTCGAAACCCCATGAATCGTCGCAACCCTGGAGCAATGACTGGTCCCTGCTGGATGACGGAGCCGCTGTCGATCATCTTTCTTTCCATGACACCGTCCACCCGTCCGCCATTTCGGATACTGGCCTGAATAACTTTGAAGTCTCTCGCCCTACTGCAACAAACGGCTTGTCCACATCGCCATCTACTCCCCCCACCACTCCTCGCCGCAAAACTACCCAAAGCGCTCTTCTTACTCCTAAGTCTATTCGCCATCGCAGCCCGAATGAGCGTCGCTCGCTGCTGCGCAAGCAAAGTTTCTCCCCTAGTTTGATGCGCTCTTCCAACCTTGCCAAAGAAAAAATGGCATACCCTGAGGTTTGGGCCCAGCGAATCCAGAACTTCAATCTTCATGGCTCCGAAGATCGTCTGCCGCTGTCGCCTCCTCCTTCAGATGTTCTCATCAAGCATGAGCCTCTGTCCACCGAAACCATGCACCAGTCCGGAGAATCGGCTGAAATGCCTACTCAGTACGACGCAAGGCTGTTCCAAACCCCCACAGGCTCGATGCCTTCACCAAACATCGCAATGGCATCTCACCAACAGCAACAATACCTGACTCGCCCAAGTTCCTCCAACTTGACCAACTCCAGCCCTCCTTCTGCCGATGAGATCTTTTCATCATCCCACTCCTCCGACCCTCACTCACTCTCTTCTTCTTGGCAATCTGACCCCCTCAATTCCTCGTCCATCTTCACTCCCGACCTCCAAGGCCAAGATTCCCAATGGTGGTCACCTCTTCCTTCCCGGGTGGCCCAGCAGCAAGCTGCCTATCTTGCATCTCCCACCCCCAACCGCATGCAAAGCAGCGGAAGCCAAAATGAAATAAATCAGGGGGGGCTCATGATTCAATTCGACCCATCTTTCGACATGTCCGCCGAATCCTCATTTTCATCCTCCAACATGATCCCCACTCAAAAATTCGTCACCCCCTTCACAGCTTCTCAAACTCACAACCGCCCCCAATCACCTTCTCTCTCACCTCGAGCCGACACTCCGCCCATGGGTAGCCGCCATTCTTCTATCTCTAAGCCCACCCACCGCCGCACTCACAGTCGCAAGCTCTCCGGCCAGAGCATGAACGGCCCCAAGCCCGCCAAGGCATCTGGCTCGTCTCCCCGAGGCGCAAACAAATCCGTCAGCGTATCTTTTGTCAACTTTACCGCCCATGACAGCAAGAAAATTCTGACCGGAGTTGCTCCCTCCGGCAGCTCAAAGACCAAGGCTCGTCGCGAGCAAGAAGCCCGCGATAGACGTCGCAAGCTGAGCGAGGCCGCATTATTGGCCGTGCGCAGCGCCGGCGGCGACGTCGAAGCTCTTGAAGCTGTTCTCTGTTAATCTATGTGTTCTACTATTAATTTGCTTTTCTTGTCTGCTTTCTTCAGCCGGTGTTTTTGGGTTATATCATTGTTTCTATTGGTGTTTTTCTGCTTTCAGACCCGGGCCCGGGTCCAACCAAAATGTTAGACTGTTTCTAATATTTAGACTATTGTGTGGATATGATATCTAATCTCATAATTTCTTGTGATTCCTTCCTCCTATTGAAGATCTTGTCTGGCTCTTTGTATGTGTTTTGGCTCCCATTCTGACTTGCATTGTTCAATGTCCTGGTAAGTTCAGCTTATTCTTCCAGATTCTATTTCCGCTGATAACGCAACCATCCAGACAGTTTCCATATCTCCTGGATCATGCTTCCCGCCATATCCTTCGATTCATGGTCATCTCTCTTTCGCCACTTACTGTCTACTCATTTGATCTATCCACATAACAACCCCGGCTACAGATGCATGTGATGCTAATCGGGTTATCTGCTTGATCTACACTCCAAACCTCCTCGAGGCCTGAAATCTCTATCAGATCGTTTGAAGTTTGACGTTTGACGTTTGACGTTTGATCCCATGTCTGATGTTTGACACCGAGTCCAGGACTATAAATACCTTCTATTCTATTCTTTCCTTTCTTCCTTCTTCCCCGCCTTCATCGCATAGTATACTATGCTTCTAAAATGTGAGTCCCAAAATTGCATCTATATCCATGAATATTCGAGCTCTCCCCTACTATGCCGGTCATACACCTACCAGCCATGCACCGAGGCACTCACCTGTCTTTATCTCCTTGTTTTTTAATTTCATGCTTTCGTCTTCACTTGGATACTTCAAGTTCATACTTCACTTTCCCCAAATGCATAATATAAGTGATTATATTGGCACAGCAAATCAAGTCAATTCACTGCATTTATCATAATCACTTCCCTTTTCTCTGCAGTCATCCTTAATTTCCTAATCCAAGTCATCTCTTATGACAGATTTCCCTCTCATATTCACATTTGCTCCTTCCCAATCTTGCAGCTCCTGCCCCATCTTCTAGCTTCTAACCAACACTTACACTTTTTCCTCTTCATCCTTCCTCTCTCTCCTCTTCCTTTCTTCATCTCCTTCCACTTCTTTTCTCTCCTCACCCAACCTATCTATGATCTCTTGCTGAGGGTGGGTGATCTGCAACACCCCCCTCAGTCGTACATCACACCTCCAAATTTCCTCACTTGCGGCAGTAAGCGAGTCTTATTCTACACATCCCGAGGTCCCTGGTATTCATTCTGACTGGGACGTCATTTCGTCCCATCAGTTTCGTCTCATTCTTCCTTTTCGTCCCAGTTTATCTCTGTGACTTGAGGGCCCTTTTTCGTCCCATCACATTCTTAATCGCTGCTGGCAAAACACTTCCATCGTGTTGTCCACAGCGATCTTTACGTGTCTTGGTACCTAGGTACTTGATGCGACTGCCCTTGGATGTTTCTCCTCCTTCTCACTGATCTATCTCCACACGAAACTTCTCACACATTGACCATACTCATCGATTCTGATCATCATCACAGATCAAAAAAATCGCCAAACTCTACGTGAATTCTCACTCCTACCCTGAATAACCCTCGTCGATACACAGTTCTTGACCCAACACTCTTATCTCCTCGTGGTCGCAACCCACTCGCTTCAATATCTACACTGCTCTCTCATCCTCCTGGTGTTCAAAGCACCTTCTCATTCTGTTCCGCCACTCCCACGCTATGTCTGGATACGCGAGGGGCGATATGCCCATTCGTGGTCCTCGTGGAGGAGGCGAACGCGGCCGTGGTCGGGGGCGTGGCGATGACCGCGGACGGGGTAGTGATCGAGGCCGGTCTCCTGCGGGGGACATGAGTTGCCGGTAAGTGTGCCTATTCTTCCACAGGACAATGAATTTAATCTAACATGAAAACAGCATGTTCACGGACCCAATCTCTGCTGTTGATCCCAAGGTCGTTGATCTTGAGAACAAAAGTGTCGCAAACTTCCTCGCGGACCAAAAGGCCGGGAAAGCCCGTCCATCTGATGCCACGGGTGTTGCACTTGCCTATCGTCCTGGTTATGGAACCTTGGGACGCCCTCTGAATTACCGGGCAAATATGTTTGCGATGGACTTGAGGCCTGGCATGGTTCTGCATTCATACCGGCTGAAGTTCAGTCCAACGGATGTCACTAGAAGCCAGCAGACGTTCATCATCAAACACATGCTTCGTCTGTACGCTCCTTTTGTACAGAAAGGTGTCCAGATTGCTACGGATGGCGCAACCGAAGTGGTGACTCTGGAGCCTCTGCCAGAAAACCGAGGGGTTCATCGTGTCTCTATGTCAACCGGAAAGGGAGCTGACAAAAGTGGACAACGTTCTCAACGCACCCAAGAAGCTCAATCTGAGCGTCGAGGTTCCAGTGGGCCTTGGGTTGTCACCGTGGAATACAAAGAGTCGCAGCCCGTTCAAAGTGTCCTTGATAACATTCGTGATCCCAATTTCCGAAAGGTTGTTCCCAACAGGGATACCTCAGATATTGAGGGCACCCATGTGACACGTGCTGAGACAAATGTCGTGCGAATGCTCAACATCTTGATGAGTGCCTACCCAAACAGGACCCCCGGGACCTACATTGTTGGGAAGGGGCGCAACAAAGTCTTCCGGCTGGATGATGACAAGCAGAGCATGTATCTAGGGGGTGGCATTGAGGCTGTCCGTGGCTACTACTCGAGTGTTCGGCTGGCAGCAGGGCATGTCATGCTCAACTTGAACATTAGTCACAGTGCAATGTTCCGTCCTGGGTCACTCATCAGGATGATTGACGAGTTTGTCAAGGTGCATGGCGAGAACCGTGAGCTTCTAAACAGCTGGCTCTCCCGTTTGAAAGTGTATGCTATTCATCTTCCAAAGAGGGAGAATGGCGATGGGGAGATGGAATTTCCCATCAAGCACATAATCGGCTGTGCCAGACCTGGAGATGGAGCCAAGGACGAGCCTCGCCCCAAAGTTAAAGATTTGGCATCCTGTGCAAACAACGTGCAGTTTGGGATCCGAAAGGATAATGGCACCAGCGAATACATTACGGTGACTGAGTATTACCGTCGCGGTAAGTTTTTCATATCATTTAGCAGCGAGATGTGAGGTGCTAACAGTTTCGAACAGCCCACAACCGGCAGCTCAAATATGCTGGCACTCATCCCATCGTCAATGTTGGAAGCAGAGACCACGCCAGTTACCTTCCAGCGGAACTCTGCGAGATTGTTCCGGGCCAGATTTTCGGAGGAACTCAGTCTGGAGGCATGTCTTCCAATATGATCAAGTTCAGCTGTCGGCGTCCTCCCCAAAACTACGACTCCATCATGAAAGATGGCATGGATATCTTGGGGATTGAACAGGAGACCATGGCAGTCGGCATCAGGCCTCGCAAGCAGATGTCAATTGTGCCCGCGCGCATCTTGGATCCTCCAAACCTCATTTACAAAAAGAAAGTCACCAAGCCTCGTGCGGGCTCGTGGAACCTGGCAGATACAAAGTTCAGCGAGGGTGCACGGATTCAAAGCTGGACGTGCCTCACCGTTCGCAAGCAAGGAAGACCTTCTGCGAGCGTCGACCAGGAGATGAACATACTGTACAAGAAGCTGCGAGGTCACGGACTCACTCTCCCGCCTCCTGAGAGACCATTCATCACTGTTGACCTGACGTTTGATCTTTGCAAGAATCGCGATACACTCGAGGCCGCCTTGAAGAAAACAAGCAAATTCGAACTGTTGATTGTTATCCTGCCAGATACAGAGGCTGCTACTTTTGATTGGATCAAGCTGATCGGTGATATCAGGGTTGGGATCTTGACTCACTGCATGATCCTTGAGAAATTCAAGAAGCAACAAGGCCAGGATCAATACATCAGTAACAACGCCATGAAAATCAACCTCAAGATGGGCGGTTCCAACCAGGCCTTGGAACCAAACAATCTCAAGTTTATTTCGCAGGGAAAGACCATGGTCGTTGGCTTGGATGTTACTCATCCAGCTGCCGGAGAAAGCTGGATGCCTAGTATCGCCGGTATCGTGGCTTCTGTTGACGGTCAAATGGGACAGTGGCCCGGTGAGGTTCGACCACAGGCGAGCCGCAGTGAGGAGATTGTCTGTCTTGAAACCTTGTTGCTGGCACGGCTAGATCTCTGGATCAAACACAACAAGGAACCTCCAGCCAACATCCTCATTTACCGTGATGGTGTGAGCGAGGGCCAATTCATGATGGTGCTCAAGGAGGAGCTTCCCCGGGTTCGCCAGGCTGCTGCGAAACTCTGCCAATACCGTGCTGAGTACAAGAAATTCGAGTACTACGATCCCAAGGTCACTGTCATCATCTCCGGGAAACGCCACCATGTCCGCTTCTATCCAACCAAGGCAGCGGATGCTGATCGAACCAATAACCCAATCAATGGAGCTATTGTTGACCGTGTTGTCACTCGCCCCATGTATTGGGAGTTTTATCTGCAGGCTCAATCTCCCCTGCAGGGATCTGCTCGTCCGGCCCATTACATTGTTGTCCACGATGAAATCTTTACCGACCCCAAGATCAGTTCTGGGAAGCCTGCGGATGTGGTTCAAGCAGTAACCCATAATATCTGCTACATGATGGGCCGTGCCACGCGCTCCATCAGCTATGCCACTCCTGCCTTCTTGGCGGATCGATACTGTGACCGGGCTCGTAAGTACGTGGCTGCGCAAAACGCCGTGGACAAGTCCGAACCCGGCAAGCACAAGCGGGACAAGGCCAATGAGGCAATGCCCATGGCTGTCAACTCCCACTTTTCTCACAGCATGGTTTACATCTAGGCCAACAAGTTCTACTTTATTGGCTCTATCTGAACGTCTGGTCTCCTGGTCTTTTCGAACATGGTCTTGTGCTCTTTCTTTGTGTCTGCCCTCTGCATCCATCCATCCATCATCCACCAGCAACTTCAACTTCATCCTCAACTCCAACTCCACACCATCTTCAACTTCAACTGAAATTGAAACCAACTTCTCATCAGGTTGATCTCCGTGATAATTTTCCTGAACTGTCAAATTATTGCTTACGATGCCGTTGCGCCCAAGTCCGCCTTGTACTACAACAGGGCAAAGGAAAACTTGAAAACCAAAAAAAAGAAGATTATTATTTGAGACTTTGATATTATTTGCGGGAGGGTGGAAATTCTGAAAATCCAAAAACAGGGGACGTTTGAAATGAAATTTTTACAAAACTTGCCGTGCATTCTTATAGACTGTACCTAGTAGGGCATAGATCTCATAGCTGCGCTGACATTTGCAGGCTACGTAGTCATGGAAGCCGGGCAGTGAGTAAAGACAGCGGTACGTTTGGGTGATAAGCGCTCAATAGCAAAGCAAATAATGTACAAGTGCCAGGGTGATGGCCAAGGCCTTCACAGCCCTACCGAATCAGGATCGTATCTGTCCAAGTCCATGTAGCTGGCATTGGAAGAGGAAACCTTGAGAGACGTCCGTTGTGTGTAGAGGCACTCCTGAGTATTCGATACGAGACAACCGTGCCCAGGTGATCTCTCATCGACCGAGTTGGCTGATTGGAACCAGAGAGCCCAAACCTTGGAAAGGACAAGCTTGGAAGGCAACAGATCTTCTGGCTTCTATAATCGGCCACCACGCATAGCTCCTCCGATTCAGATATCCGACCAAGTTACCTTTATATCACATTCACCGTTTGGAGCTCGGCGACCAGGCCTCAGGTTGCCACTCCTCTCCCGGATTGGCATTGCTGGCATTATTCCATGGGTTCTCCTTCTTCTCGGACGCAGCAGGCTCGGATTTTGGTGCCTCGGATGGCGGAGAAGCCTGATGTTCCGGCGCGATCTGCGCATTGTCTGCTGGGGCTGGTTGGGTCTTGGGTTTATCGAGGTAAGATGGTTTGCTAGCCCAGCGCTCATCGGCCAGCCGAGCCAGTTCCTTCATTTGCGCTTGTCGGACCAGATCTTGTTGTTGCTCTTGGATGCTTGGCGGATGTTCGCGGACGTGTCGTAGCCATTGGTGCCATTGCGCTGGAGGGAGTTAGTGACCGGTCATCGCGGAACAAAGACCCTACAACGGGCCTGGGACGCGACTCACGTGTGACTTGAACATCGCTGTAGTGTGTTTTGGGGTCGAATCGGACGATTCGTCGCATTCGGGCTGCGTTCATTACATCGTTGAATTCCCAGAAGGTGTTGCCCTGAAGGTCCTGGCCTGTGAAGATGTTAGTGGAGTTCGGAAATTGGAAAAGGGTCACATTTACCGACTAAGAAGGACTTTCGCCAGGGCAGACGGAGCTTCTTCCACTTGAACCACAGGCTGTTCACCATTGTTGCGCGAGGAGCGGAGATGTGGAGGATCTTCCAAGTTTTTCGATGCGGCCAGGCCCGCGGACCGTTAGTGGCCACTGCGACTTGGAATGCGCTGCACGGTTCTACAGTTCGCAGCCAAACACATTGCAAAGTGGAATTTTCGCATTGAATTTTGGAATATATTCAGACAGGTAGAGTAACATCCATGGATGTGTTGGTAGGTAATACTTACATCGCAGTGTTGACAAACTTCCAAGGTTATTAGTAGAGCATCGGCATAGTTCTGCTAGGATTATATATTTCTGGCCCTCCGAATGCATATGCATTTAGCTACTACCTGTGACCTTCCAAGTTGAACCCATCCAACCCTGGAGTATTGAAATGCCTTCAACTACTTAGTACAGAGTACAACAATCATGTCTCAGTATCAGAGGGAAAGCGGAACTGCGATGTCCCTAAAAACGCCCGTCTCCACGGAACGTCATCGGGATCAACATTCCATTCCATACCTCATCTCGCTTCTCCTTTCTTCCTTGCAAGACTTTCTGCCAGGTGGCTTTCTTCACTTTGCGTCAATTGCTTCGCAATCGAGCCACGGATCTTGCTCCGCAACCCAATCAACGCCACTTCTAGGGCCGATCAGGCACCGGCGAAGGGATACTAGTACATAGCCCCCTTCAGTGGCAACAGTCTTACACCTTCTTCCGCTCTCCTGGATCGAGAATCGATCCATCAACATCCATCATGGCTTCAGTGACCTCGTTGGACAAAGACCTGCGCAACATGCGCTTGTCCCGCTATACTCCGCAGGCGGCCGCGGAAGTGCGCGACTGGATTGAGGAGATGCTGCAGGAGAAGCTGCCGTCGCCAGACTTGCTGGAGGGCCTCAAGAGTGGAATTGCTCTTTGCAAGTGAGTGAGAAACGCGCATCCATGACATGAAAATACCGAGACCTTCCGGCTGACCCCTTTATCTACAGGTTGGTAAATCTCGCCGTGTCACCAGGCGTGAAGTTCAAGCAGTTGTCCGCGCCCTTTGTACAGATGGAGAACATCTCCCACTTCTTGCGCGCATGCCAGATGCCTCCACTCAGCCTCCCCCCACATGACGTTTTCCTGACAGTCGATCTATACGAGGCCAAAGACCCCGCGCAAGTTCTCCAGTGCCTGGCGGCTTTCAGTCGACGAGCCAACGCGATTGCGCCGAATAAGTTCCCGCGCACCGTCGGCCCGCAAAGTAAGCGCGGTGTTATCAGCCCGGATGCGACAGGGTCTTCGAGTGGAGGATACACACCCCGGTCAGCCCGTTCTTCAAGCAATGTCGGCGACGCGGGCCCGCCTCTGCCAGCCCGAGCAGACAGTCCCGCGAAGCCTTCTGGATCATACAGCTCTTGGACCAAGCGGGGAGATGAGCATGGGACTACACCGGCATGGAACATTCATCAGTATGGCTACATGGGCGGCGCCAGCCAAGGCAACCAAGGCGTCGCATTTGGCGCGCGCCGACAAATCACCACCCCCGGACCCGCGGTTCCTAGCCTTGCGGAGAAAGAGAAGCGCAGACGCGAGGATGAGGAGAGGATGCGCCACGAGAATGCAGAGAAAGAAGCAGCAGACCGCGCACGCCAACAGCAGATCCAGGAAGAAGAGGCTCGGGCTAAAGCAGAAGAGGAGCGCCGATGGGAAGAGGAGACTTCTCGTGCAAGGGAATCGGAACGCCTCAAGATGGAGGCAGAGAGAAAGAAATGGGACGAGGAAAAGCGTCAATGGGAAGCAGAGGAACAACGACGTGTAGCAGAAGAGAAGGAAGCCGAGGAGCGGTTTGAAAAGGAGCGCCAGCAAAGACGAAGCCTCAACGACAATCGCCTTAATGGCCAGTTCCTGAGTCAATACCAGGCCTCCAACTCCCAGACCAACGAAGTGCCCAGTGGAGCGAGATCGCCCGAGGAAACCCCTGAAAGCCGCCGCATCCAAGAGCTCGAGCGCGAGCTACAGCAAGCGAAGGAGCGTGAGCGCGCCTACGAGACCGAGCGTCTTCAACCTCGCAACACAGGGGAACAGGCCGAGCCTCGTAGTCGAAGCCGCCCTCGTCCCGTGCCCCCCAAGCCAAGCTACGATCTGTCTTCCCTCGAACAAGAACGACGACTCCTGCGCACAGAATGGCAAAACACTCAAGATATGCCAATTACCTCGGAAGAGCCCGAACCTGTCCAAGAGCAAGCTCCACCTCCACCTCCTCGCCCACTCCCCGAGCCGAAGCCATCTGCATTCTCTGCAAAGCCGACTCTCCCACTCAGGGAGCTCCCCCAGCCTCCTCGACCCTTGCCAGACCCCGTAGCATACCACGCCAAGCGGAACAGCGAGAACCGCGTGGACAACTTCCTCTCCTCCAACCCGGCACCTGCAGCCCCGGCCCCAGCGACCCACCGATTCCAGGACTACACAACCACGTCCGAAGTCGATGCCGAGAACCAGCGCCGGGAAGCATCGCAGCAGAAGACCAAGGCCGGCGGCTGGGCATCCAAGTCCCTCTTGGAGCGCGAGATGGAACGTGAGCGTGCCCGCCAAGAGGAGTGGGAAGAGAACCAGAAGCAAACAGCTGCCGCGGCTGAACGAGGTGCCAAGGATCCTTCTCACGGTTCGGGCCCCGGTCAATCCTGGGATGTTCATCAGTATGGCTACATGGGTGGCGATAACCAGAATCGCGGTGGCATGGGCCTCGGTGTTGGTGGTGCTCGACGCCAGATCATTGGGCCTCGACCACCTCCATGAGCTTGAGCTCTTGAGTGTTGGGATTTGATCCTGGAAAAGCTGTTTCGCTGATGTTGACTTCAGCTGGGATTAGTAGGTTTCCACCTTTATAACTGTTTTCGTTTTTCATTTTTCATTCACGCATTCTCTTACTTCTCTTTCCTTTCTCATGGTTCATGGGCTTCTACCATCCCGCGAAACCGACTTACGCTACTCATTTAACTGGTGGCTACATTATCTGGCTCTTTTGTTTGCATTCTATGATTCCCGTCCTAGCCGTTTCCTTTGCTTTTACACAATGTGGTTGTTGATAGTATCTCTTGAAAACTTCAGATTCAGACTCCTCGAGCCTAGTAGATTGTATCCTTGCGGGTGAATTTACCACACGTGAAACGCCTGTCATCGATTCTGTTAATAGACCCAGTGGATTCAGCTCACTAGTCATCCAACGAGTTTCCGCATCTACAGCCTTGAAACAAAATCCGCCAAATTTGTTTTACGGTAATAGTTCAGATTTAGATGGAGAGATGTCCAAGTCCATTGAAAGACTGTTAGTCTCTATTTATGGCTGCATGCTAAACAAACAAGAATAAAGCAGAAGGATATCACAACGCTCAAGAACTCGGAAATGAATCATGAGTATCATCAAGGCAGAATAGAGTCCACCATAAACTGTATCCGAAAGCTACTTTCCCGCAAATAGGCCGCCGCCATGGTATTGCTATCACCACGACAAGCATCCTGCCGACGCTCAATGCCTGTCCGAGCCGCCTTGACCAGCCCCGGGGTCGCAGAAAGCATCTTCTCATTATATAGCAAGGCCATCATAGCCTCGAGCAATATGGATATCTTGGCATTATTCGCCGCAGTTGGACTCGCCGCCATGTACGGGAGGAAACATGTTTCCAACTTCGCCGCGGTCAGGAAGTCATCTTCAGAAGTCGGGGCGGAGCTCTCGCGCATGACGAAGAATATCATCTCACAGAGACTGGAGTGCGCTTCTGGTTCGAGACCCTGGAGGTTGGAGGGGGTGACCATGTGTTGGAACACAGGAAGAGGGAGGTCACGGATATTCTCTGCGAACATGTGGTAGATATCGTCCATTGGCAAGAAGTCCTTTGGGAGCGTGACTGAGAATTTGGAAAGGAGACCGAGAAGTCGTTGTCGGAGAGCAAGGGCATTGTAGCCGCCTATGGAAGCGATGCCGTTTTCATGATCTGCGACTATGTCGCTTGCTTCTGATTCGGAGTCCGTGGCTGTGTCTTTTGAATTTCGTGTCTGACGGATACGCTTAGGCGCTCGAAGTAGTCTGTTCTGTCCGGGTGTAGGCGAGGCTCTGGATTCCTTGAGACTGGCGTACTCGTCGTCCGAGTCGTTTTGGTAATCTCCATATTCTCCTTTGCTGAGGTCAACTCCTGCTCTTTTCCTGAGATTTGACCCGACCTTCTTGCGTCTGGGAGCTTTGATCTCATCCTCGAAGACGGACCGGAATTCGGCCGATTTGGGCTGGCCGTCTGCGAAAATGGCTCGCATGATCCTGCGGTTTCGCCCATAGGTATTGTCTGACATGACGTATTGATAGAGTAGACTGTCTCGGAAAATCTCAAGTCCATCCTTCTGTTTGACTTTGTCGCTTTTGCGTGGCCGACCCCCTCTGCCTTTGTCTGTTGCTGGCTCTGGGTGGTCGATGATCGAAGCTTCTCTGTCTGACCTCTGTTGAGTTTCTTTCTCCTGGGCCTCGCCGTACTGTTGCTCGCGATCGGCCCAATCATCTTCAAGTACCTGACACATGAACTGAAGCCATAGATGCCAGTGTTTCCACTGGGCCGGGTGTAACACCGAGCAATTGAACGCCCAGCCGACAGCATGCCAGAAGTCCTCAGCCTCATTCCACAACGAACGGCCTCCACTGTAGCTCGCTTCCCATGCCTTCTTCTTCTCCTCGGTCAAGGGTTCATTTAGCGCCGGGCTGTTCGCACGTCGCGTCCCGCGGCGGGTGGTCTCGAAATGAGTGAAAGCGAACGCGGTATGAAACTGCGCCGCCGTCGGACCAACAAGGGAGTTCGTGAGCCGAAGCAGACGCAAAGCGATGTTCGGAGCCTCTTTCTCGGCGTCCAGTTTGGCGCGTGTTGTCGTGAACGGATGGACGAGCATCGTCGCAGCGATGGCAAGGTGTTGCGGCTGAGGGATCACCACCGGTGTTGACGCGACAGTGCCCGTCTCCGAGCATACGTTGCCTGATGCGAGTACATCGAGTAAAAGACTGAAGGCTTGTGGATCTATTCGAGTATGGGGAATTAGCGTGGACCTGACGCGTCGCGAGTACACAACATACAGAGGGTTTCTTCGATGAAAATCTCGGTTTGTCGGATGAGTTCAAACGACAACGGCACGGGTGTCCGTTTGCGCACCTCTTCCATGATCTCCACGGGGGGTGGTTCTGGGTAGAGCAGTCTGTAGAGAAACATTTTGGCGATGGGCGCGCTTATCGATAAGAAGTACTCGGCGTCACGGTTGAGCCCCGGGCCTGGAGGTCACCACCTGCACCTGCACCAAAATGGAATTTGTAGAATTTCAGATTGTGACGAAGTCGCATATTTCGGAATACGGGGTCCCTCGTTAGTCTAAATATTTGTCTAAAAACAGGCTTAATCCCTTGTCGGGAAACAAAGGCGTAAACAAGTGAACAATGAACTGTAGCAAGCTAACCAGAATAGGAAACTCTGAAAGATCCGAGATCCATAAATGCATGAGACTAGAGTTTTGTTATATATGCCTCCCTAGATAGACAGCAACCTTGGAACTATATGGTTGAATTGAGATGCCATAGGAAACCATTGGTTTCGATCACTGTGACGCCTGGCCCTAAGAGCCGCACATGCAATTCCCCGCATGGGCCCCCGGCCAAGAGATCAACTTGCATTGCGAATGTTCAGATCCCATGGTTTTTACGATCGTCGTATTCCACGGTTTGGAATCTCTGAGGCCATCATAGAGCGAAAGTCGTAACTTGTCATACGGGAACAGATGCCAATGTTTACTGGCTGGAACAGCCTAGCTCAGATAGCATGGGTGTATGGAGTAGAAAGGGTGTGCATTTGGACTGGGTCAAGGACCTCTTCGTCTTCATATTTGCCAGAGAAAAGAGATAGAATCAGAATGCGCGACAGCCAACAACGGGTCAACCCCCGTCGATCAATCTCGCAATGCAAAGGTCCTGTATGTAGACAAAGGCGAAGCTGAAGAAACCAAGGTCAAGTCGACGCCGAAGTGAGCAGCAATCAGAGGTAATGGAGAAAAAAGAAAAAAAATTAAGTGGAAGTTATGATTCCTCGGGTATATCGGAAAAGAGACCTATTCGCAAGCGATGCGACTGCAGGTGGGTCAGCCAGATTGATTTTAGAAAAAATAGAAGGAAACAAAGAGGGAAACAAAGAGAAAAGGGAGAATAAAATGCGACCAACAGGACACCTGGGAAACTTACAAAAGGCAACTTGGGAATGACCACCGCCAATGTGGCCAGAAAGTTGATGGTGAAGTGGGTCAGGTCGAAATGGGTGTAATGGGTGCTGAGGAGGAAGAGCACGATAGGCACGCAGAGCAAGAATTTCTTGGCGGGAGTGTACTGGTCGCCATTGTCGATTTGTTCCCACATATTGAGATTATCGTAGGCACCGGCGTTGAATTCGAAGGGGATGCCCCGCACCCAGTGGAACATGAGGAAGGATCCGAACATGTAGCTGATGTTGGTGAGGGTCCATGAGGTCTCTTGGGAGACACCGGGGATGATATCGTAAAAGATCTTGAGGGCAGCGATGCAGACGAAGTGAATTGTCCAGGCACCTAGTCACACGGGGAGGTGTCAGGATTGGATTCTCAACTCGATCACTCTCGGTCCCCGGATAATGAATCACTCACCTTTGGCATTCACCCAGTCTGCATTGAGATTTGGCAATGCAGCCTGGTCACTGGTTCGCTCGATCGACTCGGTGGGCTCTTGGTAGATCAAACTGCTGGACCGCCTCCGTCGGCCTTGTTTTTGGCTCATGCCGGGAGATAACCGCTGCGGCCCTGTGTCAACATCCGGAGGGAAGGAGATGCCACGAGGGGCCAACAGGGAGGACCCTTGGGAATTGCTGGACGCCAGCTTGACGGTTGAATAAGATAGATTAAGATGGAGGAGAAGGAGATCAAGAAAAGGAGCGTGGGGATGAAGAGGTGGCACGGCCCGGACTGGTCGAAGAGAGAGCTCTTTTGCGCACACCCCGTGACCGCCGACCGGACAAACTCTTCCTTTTTTTTTTGTCCGCGTCTTGCGTCTTGCTGGCCCTATATTTATTCTTGGACTAGTTCTCTTTAGCTTCTCTCGGCTTGTTAGCCTACTTTATTTGAGGCAAATCCCTATTTGTCCTGCATGTGCGGAGTCTAGCCCCGACACTACCACAAAGGGGGCTCTATACTTGTGCTGTCCTCCGAAAATAGCCCCAGACCCTGCATGAACTGGAAGATGCAAGGATTCGATTCTCACATGCGAATGCAGCCCTCATGGCATTGACCTGAGATATTACAGAAATGCCCTACAGAGTACAGAAACCCCCGGTCACATTATCAAAAGTCTCATTGGCCAAACCCCTCAGAGCCTCGATTGTATCATGCAAGTTGGAGAACCGGGGCACGAGAGCCACTAGGGGCCATGAAGATGTGACTCTTTGGCAGTTGATCGATGCATTCGACCTTCCACTTGCAAAGATAGAGCGGGAGTAGCGTGTTGACGTGCTCTAGTACGGAGGAGACCATGCAGGTAAACAACCGCCAACGGCTTGAAAGAGCGGCAGTTGTATCCTCTGGGCCGAGGACTTGACTGGAGGGCTGGATCTATAAGCCATGACAGCAGAAGATGCAAGATATCCTTATTGAGGAGTATGGAGTATGGAATGTTCAAGTACTAGTACCTCGCATCCAACTATGGAAGGACTATGTATGCAACAGAAGATCCGCGAGGTTCGGGTGTTTCAAATGCTTCATCTTGCCTTACCACTGGATCGAAGTTATCAAGTGGCCAGGTCTATCCGGAGGTCCCTTTAGAACAAACTACTACTACAGAAGCTCCGTCAAAGTCTAACAATGGTGGTTCTTTTTCAAATCTCCAAACTCTCCCGCCTCCTGAGTGTCCCATACTTGCAGGCCGTTGAAGCCTGAAAACACACGGAATACTACCTGAAAGTCTGTTCTTGGATATAATGTTACACAAGCTCTACTACAACCTGCTGTTCATTTAAGTCAATCATAGCCATGTTTCCCATGGGGCTGTGGTTTTACAAAACATGCTGGTAAATTAGTCCACCACGTTCACTCCGATCTTAGATCGCCTATTCTTATGTGATAGATAAACTTCACAAGAATCATATCCAAGTCAGCTTAGCAGCATGTTTGACACCATGTCAACTGTACAAATTGTTGGTAGAATCCCGGAATCCCAGTGTAGGGCTGCGTACATAGTTCTTCGGGCTGCGCGACTGGTCTATATCGACTACCGTGAAATTTCAATGGGATCCATCATGATCTTCCGCGACCTGGGCTTTCAGACAACCTCGGCCTCGATATCCAGAGATCCTCTGGTTCCCAAAAGATAAAATGTCCAAGTCCTCTGACGAAGAAGCAGACTCACGGACAGCCCTGGTGGGGGCGTCGCGTGCCAAATCAAACCCACGCTCCGCCTCGCGCTCCGCGTCGAACGACAGCACTTCCCGCCCGGCCAAGAGACAGCGCAAGAACAAGAACGCCAAAGACTCGGGTCTCGGCGATATCGTTCCCCGGGGAGGCTCTTTTAGCGAAGCTACATTGCCAGTGGATCCCGATAGCACATCGAGTTCTGGCAGTTCGGACTCCAGCGATGACAATTCCACCTCTGATTCCGAGTCCGAGTCCGAGTCCGAAGCCGAGGAGCGCAAGCCTAGCGCAAATCCACACGAAGGCAATACTGCGCCTGCAATTAGTTGGAACCAGGGCCGGAAGGCGGCTGTGCGGACCTCGCTCGGAAAGCGATCCGCGCCAGATGGAAAATCAACACAATTCGCTGCTGTAAACGACAAGTACTGGCGCAGTCGCAGCGAGTCAGTGTCATCGGTCAGCGATGGTGCAGGAGAACCAGATGCGAAAAAGGCGAAATCAAGTACTCAGCCCGCAGAAGAAGACGAGCTCGAAGAGGGCGAAATTGATTCAAAGAGTGAATCGGATGACACTTCTCTCGACTCAGAAGCCGACGATTCTATCCTTCTGAACATTGGTGAAAAGGAGAGTGGAGTGGGTGGTGTCGAGGATTACGATCCTGCCACTTTGGCTCACCAGCATTCGTCTAACGCCGCAACCACAATGAACGGTGGATCTTCGCATGGAAAGGAAGACGCGTTCCGCCAATTCGCTCGCAAATACCCAACCGCGCCCACTTCGTTGATAGATTTGAGTCAACAAGATCTCGAAATTCAGGCCAAGTTCATACATTTCGGCACAAACATTCACGATCTCGACCTCAAGCTACCTGTCTCTTGTATCGAATGCCAGAAAGAGGGTCATTTAGCTGATATCTGCCCATTAAAAGAGGTATGCTCCTTGATTCTGCCCCAAATCATCTCTATCGCACTAACTTTGGTATCCAGTGCACACACTGTGGCTCGTGGAACCAACACCAAAGCAGCACCTGCCCCAGCTGGCGACGATGCCAAAGATGTCGCGAACGAGGTCATGATGAACCCCAATGCGAGTCGAAATTGCGCGGCTCCGCACTTGAAGACCCTTGTGATTATTGCGGCCAGGCGCACTTGGAGTCCCAGTGCGATCACCTATGGAAATTCCCATCCCGAGAAACCCACTCCCAACAAACAACAGTGTCCATCTGCTGTGCCAACTGTTGCAGCATGAAGCATCTCGTTGGAGATTGCGAAACCAGAAACACTCGTACAAAATTCACCTCATCTTCATTCAGCCTGAAAAACACCGACCCGGACGCGATCACGAACCTTAACTCCGTTGGCGCCAGCCGAAATGCACCACCAGGCCGACCGGGAGCTCGCACAAGACGTGATTGGTCCCCACCCTCCTCCGACGATGGCGATATGATGTCCCGTGTCTCCCGGGGCCGAGGCCGTCCGGTACCCGCTCCTCGTGGCAACAGTCGTGGAAAGATTCAGTTCGCAAATGGTGCTGGAAGTGGCCGGTCTCGTGGTCCTTCTCGGGGTCGACCCCCATTCCCTGGAAATGGGGGCCCTCGATCTGAGCCACCACTCCCCCGCGGTCCCCCTCCCCCTCCTCGTGGCGGCGGCCGTGGTCGTGGACCCCCTCGAGGGGGTTTCTCGCGCGGGCCGCGGGGTGGTGGTCGAGGTCGCGCTCGCTAAGGCCCGGCCTCTCCTTTGACGCTTGATGATTATAAAAGAGCTTACCGCTCCGGTGAACCCCTGCAACTGGGGCAAATGTTTCTATTTGGCGACAACTGTGTAAGATTTCATGTATCATAAAGAGGCCATGGAGCAGGTCTCAAGCATTTGGCCTTCCGATGAAAAGCGATATATGTACATAAACAAAAATCTCAACACGGTACATCGAAAACACACGAGGATTGATCAGCAGGTAACACAACATGTTCTCACTCTACCTCATTTTCCCTCGTTCCGAGGAATCCCTCCTCCAGAATTCCCACCAAATCATCCAGCTGCGAAATGCAGAGATCCGTGTGCGGGTGTTCCCCCAAATGCCCATTTCTCTCGTTCACAAGCAGCACCGTCGCAGCACCAGCCATGTGACCAGAAGTCATATCATCAATACTATCACCGACCATAATCATGTTCTCCGCATTACCCAGTCCCCACTCACTTGCAATATGCAAGATACCGGCAGGGTCAGGCTTGGGCAGCAGATTGGGCGTATCCCGTGTAATAATTGGCAGGAATACATGGGCAGAAAGATGATTGTCAAGAAGATTCTTGACAGGTGTCCTAGATTGCGTTAGCATGATTGCACGATCGCTGCATACCAAAACCCGAACGTACTCAAAGTTGCGCGTGCAGAGGGCCCGGCGGAGTCCGCGTGACTCGAGATACTCCATCAGTCGGACAAGACCAGGCTGTGGCTGCTGGTCTGCCATTGCTCGACGCTCCACATCCTGGATCTTGGATACCGCTGTAGGCTGCTCGGCTACTGGTAGATCCCGGATGTGCTGGAGGATATCGATTGAGCGGTCGATCCCCAGCGCTTCTCTGAACTGTATGTTAATTGATAGGGTTGATAATACAAAAAGGGATTGGAATTACCTCATCTCAGTGAACATATGATGCTGGGGCAAACTGTTCGATGTTAGCAATGTACTTGACCTCGGGACGGTCTTAGCCGAACCCGCTAACCGTGCTACATGATGCCGGTTATGGCGGGAATATGCAAGACATTGAAGAACGGGCCGATCAATGCAGAGAATGCGTTCTTTTGAGCCTCATGCACCCCAAAGACTCGAGAAAAAGTTCATTGTGCAGCCCGGCTTCAGTGGAAACATGGTTTCCCGCCGGCGAAGATTCATGACTCACCACAGTGTGCCATCCACATCAAATACAATCCCCTTCAGAGGGGGCGCATTCGATACTCGTGCAGAATCCAGCGGGGCAAACCTCCGTGGACGAAGCTGTTTACAGGCGGCCATGGTTGCGCGGAAGGACATGAAGGGACGTTGAGGAAGTGGAGTTGCCAAGCGCGGGGAGATCTATACGGAAGGAGCGATGCCCTAACTACTTGGCTTCCTTTTTTGGCTCTTCTGCTCTTCTGCTTTTTCGCTTCATTGTCCTGTTGTCGATTCTGCATCTGATGAATCAAAGACCTTTTGCTCAAGGGGGCTTCCCCCTCACGCTCCGGACAACGTTCCACCTCATCGGAGATCTCCTCTATCTTCAGATTCTCTATGCGATTTCCTACCTGGCACAGCCATTCGCAAGCAGCGCGCATCGCGAGCTCCCACCACTGAACAAAACCATCCATAGGAAAGAAGTGGAAATCAGCAACATCATCTTGGGCATTGTCCCACTGACAGCCTTCAGCTCTGCAACAGCGACAGAGCGCCAGTGGCGTCTATCATCTGGAAACAACGCCCTGAACCACGGAGAACCAGCCCTCGTGATTCCTCCATGCCCTGAGCCCGTCTACACCAAGAAATGGTCACCAATTGATTACCGAGGAGAGTCATCAACTCGCAACATCCAGAACGAGAACGAATTCCCCTTGTCGCGATCTAACGCTATACGCCGAAGCGGCTCTTCCATCTACGATGCTGTACAAGGTATCAAGTCCAGTACCCGAGGAAGCTTGTCGTCAATGGCCAGCTCGGCCAAAGCTATCTTCCACCAACCTGGCACATCCAAGCCTCTGGCAATGATTCCACGAAACCTGGACGGTGCATCTTTCGACGACCCATGTGAAAAGCTTCAGCCAAAGCTCCATGACGAGCCGGTGCAACCTATGCCGATTCGGAAACGATTCTCCAGACACCCTCTGTTTGAGAGGCCGGTTCAAATGTCCGCTGCTGCACGGCTGGCCGAACACTTCAGTGATCCTGGCCCATCTTCATCTTACGGACTGAAGGTTGAGGAGGCCCCAGAGGTCGTCCCAGTTGGATCAGTGGATGGTGCGGACGATGATGTTGAGACGGTGCACCTGAGCCGGAGCCGGAAGTATCATTCTATCGAGAGCTATCCTGGTAACTTTCCCGTCAGCGATACTTTGGATTACAGCTCGCTTGCTACTGCTTTTGCGGTTCGAGGAAGGGGAACTACCTCCGTGCGTCCATTCTCGGATTACTAGGGATTTGGACGAGGTGATGGGTTGAAAATACACTCATCTTTCATCGGTCCATGTTTTGGGTCATTGGTATACTCGTGGCTACTGCTGTTTCTGTTGGACGGTGTTACGAGCACTTTGTAGCTCCTTTTCTTTTCTCCATTTGGTCTTGGGCTTTGTGGGTTTGTTCTACTTATGTCCGCGTCTTGGACATACATTTGAATTATTACTCGACTCGGGACTACAGTATCTATATCCAAAGTCGTCTGTCGCTCATTCGATCATTCAACTTCGAACTGGGTGTTTGGAAATGTTCTCGGCACCTTTTAGGTAGCTGTCACCTCCCTGAGGAGTGAATATAATGAATGATCAAGTACTTTGATTGAAACACTTCGTGTTCGGCTACTATTGACATCTGAATGTAAGCTCTTTTGGCAACCGATAGAAACAAACCCGTCGGAAAGTAATTGAAATATGGTTCACACGTTGAATTAGAGGGACTCCACAGCGATATCTACACAGAAGAATCCAAGGGGCTCGAAGCCAAGCGCCGATAGTACAAAGGCGTTGACTCATACCAGGACTGAAACAAACACCAACACAATCAAGTGGGAGAGAAAAAAAAGCATGTAATAAAAGGCTCAGCCGGCAGAAGACATAACTTCACGCTTGCTAGCACAGAAAGAAGAGGTATTGTAGATATTGAAAACACAAACATTTCTCGTGGGGGTAGAAAAGATAAGAACCAGTCAGATCCAAGTCATGAAAGTCGTAATTGGCAAGAAAAATCGCTAGAATAAACAATGAAGGAAATCATTCCCGGGGGTATCACAGCAGCTTAATAATCTTCATCATAATCTTGCATGGGACTGCCTCGGTAACGGCTTCGCTTGATGTTTCCTGGACTATAGGAGCCGCCGCCGGATGTGAGTGGGCGAGGGCCAGTTGGCTTGCGTCCGGGAGGGGAGCGGATAGCGGAGCTCTAATGAGAGTGTTAGTGGGGGCGTTTGTGGACTGGATTGGAGGTTGCACTCACTCTTGAAACAACGCGGTCGCCGCCGTAAGTGTCGTCATCCTCTGGTAGCTTCGCGGGACGCTCGGGGATTAGAGGGCCATCGTCCTTGACTTTGGGAGGACGGGGAGGGCCGGGAGTTCGGTCAGCGCGGGAGCTGCTCTCCGAGTAGCCTGCGTCGGAGATGGGGGAAAGACGGCTGGCGCCACTGACACCGCTGTGGCGGTTAGGGTTGGTGGTGGGGTTGGCAGCGGTCAGACTGGGGTTTGATTCCCACTGGTCTGAGCCGGCTGGGGAAATAGGGCCGCCGTAGGTCTGGGCTTCGCTTTCCAGACGGGACTGGTAGCGGCCAGTTGGACCTTGACGGGGCTGGGGGTGCTGGAGCTCGAGGCTACCGCGGTTACCACGGTATTTGGGTATCTCGGAGACCTGGGAGGGCACCAATGGGGAGGGAGGTCGGTTCTCCTGTCCCTCGTTCAGGGTGTAGTTGGATCGGAGTCTGTCGTCTCCTTGAGGGTCGTAGTAGTCGTTTTTGTAGACATCATTGGCAAGGTCAGATCCTGATCGAGATTGGTCGTAGGATGGACGCTCCTTGCGGGAGGGCTGGATGCTGTTGCGGATACCGTCGCCCATGGAGGTGGCGGTGGATTTGGACCAGCGAGAGATTTTGGGGAAGATAGAGGAGCTGCTCGACTTGTGCTTGCGAGCCTTGTCGGTTTTGGGGGTAGTCTCAGTGCTGCGGGCTCCTGAGGCCACTGGCTTGCGAGGTGGTGTGTTTAGGGGAAGAGAACCAGAGCGCTCGTGGCGAGGCTGATCACGGATGGGGAGGTGAGACGTCAGGAAGTCGTCGCCCTCGTCAAGCTCAAGATCTTCTTCGTCGACTTCATGGACCGTGCTGACTCGCTGATCCGAATCTCTGCGCTGTCCATTTGCCGGACGAGAGGGACTGGCTCCGTAGGGGGATCGGCTTGTCTCAATCGGGGCTCCGTTTGGACCGGCGGCGTCGTAGCCGCCATCGATGCTTCCCGGCCTCATGCTTGTGCGAGGGCCAAAGCCATCTTGGCCTTCTCGGAGAGCCTCGACTTCGTCAAGCAGTTGCTCAAGCATTCCTTCGATCTTGGTCAAATCGCCACCCGACTTGAGACTCAGTCCCTTGAGCGCACGCTTGAAGATGTTCTTGCGCTTGTCTTCTTCGTCGGCTGTGTTCAACTGGCGATTGCGGGAAGAGCTCGTAGGCAACGGGCGAGGACCACCCAGGGCTTTGTGGGTGCGCTCATGTCCTCTGTCGCTGGTGTCCATGATGAGGTCGTCCTGCTCAGCAATGAACCGCTTCATCTGCTCGAAGGAAGTGCGCATCTCAGCGGCACTGCGAACGAGAGTCACAAGAATCTCGGTGTCTCTGGCATTTCGCTGCGCATCGCGAACAGTCAAATGATCCATAAGAGCCACAATGTCTTGAGACTGGATTCTCTCAATACCGCGGCCTGTGGCACTGTCGTAGAGAGGCGAGCTGACACCGTGTGAGTAACCGCTGAAGTGGCGTTGGTGGCCGGCGGCGAAAGGATCATCGGGTCCAGCAGGGCTTTCCATACCCCCCATGCCAGGGACGTCTGGACCAGCCATGCCTCGGCTACCTTGCTTTGGAGTTCCGATACTGGGCGACATGGGGTTCGCAGCCGATACGTAGCCTTCGTCCTTGGCCCCTGGAGGAGTGCCAAACAGTGGCCGGGGCTGAGCGGCCTCGTGAGAGTGCATGGATAAGTCGTCACCACCAAAGATATCATTGGCGGTCTGGTAGTACTCGGCATCAAGACTCCTAGGTCCACCAGAGGTGTTGCCATAGTACTGATCCGCCTGTGCTGGGCTCGAGTCATAACCCCAGTGGTCTCCTTGGGCGCCACCTCCGGGACCTTGGATGATTGAGGGGTTGGTGTTGATTTCGGATTCCGAGAGCTGACTCTGCTCATCTTGAAGAGGGCTGTCCATTCCCCTAGGGGCGCTAGCGCCCAACGGGGTAGAGCCGTCAAGATCCTCGTAGGATTGCGTAACACTTTGTGGGGGCGACGAAGCACCCATGCGTCGAGGGAATGAATTCTCATCCGCGTCCTGACGCTGCTTCAAGGGGCTTCCGCGGTACTCGCTGGATGGCTTTTCGGGACTCCGACTGCCTGGTCGTTGGGACAATTCGGTTTGTGAGCGAGTGGTGCTAGAAGAAAGCTGAGATTCGATCTGTGATTCGAGCACAGATGGATCCATCAGAGAGGCAACCGCAGACTCAACAGCCATGGGGTGGATGAACTTTGGGTTGGCAGCGGCACCAGTAGCGACTTCATGGCCTTCTCGGAGCTTGTCCATGAAATCAACCTCGCTATCATCGTTGGCAGTAATTCGGCTCTCCTCGGCGTAACCAAAGAATCCGTCATCCCGAGAGCCCTGGCGCGAATGCTCATAGCCAAGTCCAGGCGATTCTTGGCTGCCCTGTTTGGAAATTCCGCTTTGACTCTGCATGCTGTTTGTTCCCAGCCGGGTTGATCTTGCGAGATTAGTGCTTGGTGCGGATGAAAGGGTATCGATCGAAAGTCGAGGCTCCATCTCGCGCCTTCCTTCACCATGGATCTCGCTATCAGCTGGGTACTGATCGTGATAAGTCTCAGTGCGGCCACTTGCGACGCTTTGGATAGGACTCAATCCACGGTCCATGTCATCATGGTGATATTCATCTGCCGTATCATGTTGTCCAGGGTGGGCAGCGTCAAGAAGATTAGCGGCAGCTGCAGCCGCAATGGCCCAATCACCGCCATCAGTGCCGGGGGATTGGCTCTTGGCATGCAAATCGCGATCCGACGCACTGTGAAGACTGTGAAGCGAAAGATTGTTGTGGGACTGGTTCTCGTGGCGCATTCCAAGACTTCGACGAGAGTCAACGGAGTTTCGGGTAGGGGCACGAGAGGCGGGCGAAGCAGTTTGCCTTGATGGCCCGCGAGCCAGGTCGAGTTGAGAAACCCGCTTCTGCGGAGCTGGACTCTCGGTGCGTTCGGAGAGCAGAGATGTTCTGGTCAGCTGAGATTCCATCTCACTGCGCATGGGCATCGGGGCAACATTGTGCTTTTGGAAGACGAGTTCGGTTTCGTTGTACTTCATACTCTCGCTGCTCTTTCGGGAGCTGCTCTTGCGGCTGCGATGCTCTTGTTTGTCCAGACTGGAGTTCGAGTCGTGGTGTTTCAACGAAGCCGCGGTGAGAGCAGATCCAACCCGGGCAGCGGCATGCGCATCACGCAACCCCTTGCTCTTTTGTCTTCGAATCTTGTCCTGCTCGGTGAAGTCGGGTCGATTGGCCCATCGCATCGCCATATCAGAAGTCTCGCTGCTTTTGCTTGACTTGCGTTCCTTGGTTGGTGGAGCTGGCTCGCCCGAACCAGATCCCGAGAGCACAATACCTTCGTCCTTGCTGTCCTTGTTGAGGACTACCTTGGGCTTCATGACATCGGGAGCGCTGGCATGTTTAGAAAGACTTCGGCCCAACCCGTCTCTGGAGCTGGTGCCCGACGACTGAGTTGTAGCCATATCCCGGTCGAACTTGCTTTTGTTGGTCATGACTTTCTGGTCTTTCTTGAGTTCCTTGAGCTCAGGCAGAATCAATCTTCGAATGGCATCCTCCACTGTTTCAAGTAGTTTTGGGTTGTTGAGCGAGGACTTGGATGCCCCGGAACGAACCGAGTACTGATCAGACTTGGATACCGCAGATGTGCTGAGAAGGCTGGATTCGGGGCTGGCCATGTCCTCCTCTGCATGCCTGTGTCTGCGGCGGCGGGATGTTGATTTGGGTTCAGCATCCAGGTAATCCTTGCCACTCTTACTCTTAGTCCTGCGCTTGCCGTCGGATGATTCTTGTGGCTCGGCAAGTTTCGCTGCGACACGGTGAGCTATACGCTCTGTACTGAGGCTGCGGCTGCGTTTCCGGTGTGGGGTTTTCAGCAAGTCCTTTTCTTCGCGAGGCGACCCGCGCTCAAGGCTCTGGCTGCGTTTGCGCCGAGGGCCTGCTGACGATGCATTGATCATACTGTCCGGTGGCATCGACGAGACGTCTGATGAAACGGGCATATATCGAGTATCCTGCGAAAGGGTAGACATTTCACTGTCCAGTCCGCGATTGACAAATTCGATATCTACCGGCTGACGTGATGGTTGATGACCCTCCTCCTCGGCTGAAAGGGAGCTGACACTTTGATCATCCGCCGTCCCCGCTTCCAATTGTCGCTGTTTTGATGATGGTGACGGCAAGGAAATTCGATGGGTATATGAAGGTTTGCGGCTGCCGCTTCCGCTGGTTTCCGTCACTTGGAAGTGGTCTCTCTTTTCTTTCGACTTTCTCGACGAAGATGGTGTCACGCGCACTCGAACGCTGGGGCGAGAGACAATGCCGCTTGATCCTTTGCCCCCTTCGAAGTACTCGATTAATAGCGAGGTGTGTGAGTCGCGGGAGTCGCGGTGTGAGCGAGGCACCTTGTCTTCGCGGTCCCGCTGTCGCCGGGTGGAGACAGTTATGGGGCTTCCGTCGTCGGGGATAGAGTACGACGTTTTGTCTGTGCGGCGAGAAATGTCAGTTGCCAGATCAGTGCCCGTTGTACTCTCCCCCGTATCGATGATGGATTCTGTGGGGGCGGGAAGAATCGGTCTGCGGGTGTCGACCCCCATTATGGAGAGGCGTCCTTCAGTCCAAATGGCATGCTCTGTCTCGACCGAGATGGGATCAGAAGGGGGCTCTTGTTTTGGGTCACTTGGTGCTTGGCGTGGGGAAAGATGAAATCGAGAAGAGAGATCACGATGATTGGGAGTGCAAAGCGTACCAGCGCAGACCACCTGAGAAAGGTGGGGAGTAATAGGAAGAAGGGAGCGGTTCCAGAGCCTTGATTGGATTCAGGCGGGCAGGAGGAATGCAACTTCAACGAGGGATGAGAGATGGAAAAAAGATGGCAACGCAAGAACGCAGATATAATAGTAATACTGATCCGAACTGGCCCCAGCCTCCGTTTTGTTCAAGCCACCCTTCAAGGAACCTTTACCTTAATTGGTGACCACTAGTATTGGGTACTGTCGGTGACCACGCTCATACATCTCTTCACTATGGGGGTAATATACTTTAGCTAGCACCGATACCTTGCCGTACACCACGCTAAACACCGAGCTGCGTCCATCTGGTCAAACACCTCCAGCCTCCCACATTTTGGTAATTTTCCCCAAAATTACCAAAAACAACCAACAACAAACGGGAATTTATACTACGGTTCCATGGTTCTTAAAGATCCCATCCGTGGATCCCACCTCATTTAAGGTACACCCATTCCGATGAGATTTACGACACACAACTACCTAGGTATTTCCAACAAACACGCCCCGTCACACACGGTCCACCCACTGCGCTTCCCCGTCGCCCAGACGACAGAGAAACACCGATGGGAGCCCCATTGATTGGCCCCAGCGTGGAGTGGGCGCCTGCCAACTCATCACACTCGTGTGCCCAGTGCTCGGACTTGGCTAGGAATCGTTAGTTGTTGGTGTATCACCGGGTCACATCTTCCTTGCACCGGGAACCAATCTGTGTTCTTTCTTGCAACATCAACGCTAGAAATGAACAGCGTGGGCTATGACTGGACAGAGAAATACTGAGCCAGCACTTGCAAGGGGCCTGCAGGCCATTCTCATCGGGGCCACTTGTGCTTGCACAGAAGAATCGCTGCATTTCTTACATGATTAGTGGCAAACCGCGCTGCTTTGAATCGCCAAACGCTCCTCTTGCGGCCATATCTTTATATAGGTGCGTTTGGCCTATCGGCATGCGTCCTTGATGAAATTCTGGTCGACTTGAGATTATTCTTTACATTGTACGGAACTTTGGAGGTGTCCTGGGATACGCGGTACACTTACTTGCTCCACTTGCACAGTTCTTACTTCTCAGACCGCCCATTTCCATGGCATTGATCCTTCCCTTACTTCATATCCATAGCAACAGCCTTGGAAAGCCGAGTGATATTATCTAACTCAAAGGTTCTTGTGTCACCATCAGAGTGGAGAAGAAGAGAAGAAAAACAAAAGTTATCAGGAGCACGTTGGGGGTTTTATCGGCATTGCCGACCTCGAGTCATCACGGCCGGCCAGAACCACCACGCCCTAGGTGTAATACAACATCGAGCAGGGACTAATTGGTTCAAAAGTGATTTTGGCATTGGTATCGGAAATCTTCAATTCTTCTACCTATTGTGTATATTAGCTCTTTCGACCCGTAATCCCATCTTCCACCAACCCAGCGGCCCGATTTATCATTGACTCCCCTCCGGAGCACCAAGACCCTGCAATAATACCGCAGGAACGATGATGCAGGGCTGCGGCAGGCACAATGAAAAAACCCCTCGGCCTCGAGTCGCTCGGGTCAACTGGTCATTGCTAGCCAGCTGTCATTATGGAACCACGCCCAACCCATTAAAACACACACACAAAAAAAAAAAATCGGGTATCTGCGCGGCTGACTTGGTCACAGTGGCTTGCACCACGGCGCTGATATCCTCCGAGTTCTTGCGGTACGTCGTCCACGGGTGTACATAATATCCATTGACAGCGGGTCAACGGACAGAGTGGTCCAAGCATCTGCAGCACTACCTAGGTATAGTTAGGCACGGTGGAAACTTCCAAGGTTGCCCCAGGGTGGTTTGCATTCGACAAGTAACGGTGCGTTAGCGAAACCCGACGGCCTGAGGTGTCAAAATTCCTCCCGCTGCATAGGTATGTGACCTCTCACTCCCGAGGCCGCCTCACCTGGCATCTATACAAGTACGGACCTCGGGAGTAAGCTCTCACGGCATCATGTCAGATTCCAAGTCGCATTTCAAGGAGCTCGAGGGCATCTGTCTTCCAAGGTTCAATCCATGGATATTCGAAAACTACGAAATCAGGGGACGAAATTGAAACCCAAATAGATATATCCACATTGCTGAACTCCATCATTCCTAAAATAAATATGTAGAGACAATTGATCGCTTTTGATGTTCATACAGATTGTTCTCAGTTATCGTGCTTGCGCTTGAACTTCAGCCCACCACCGTTCTTGGGCTGACTGCCGTATGTACGGCGTCCCTGCTGCTCCTGCTTCTTGTCACGGCTCAAGCTGGCACCGAGTTGGATGTCAATGCGGGGAGGGGCATTGAAACCAAAGCCCTTCGCAACCTTGACGAGGTCGAGCTTGTTCACATCGAAGACAGTGCGGAGAGAGTGCGAGGCGTATGCTTGGAGGTAGGAACGGTATCCATCCTTGGCGGACTGCGGGAATCAGTTAGCATAGTGGACAGGGTTGTTGGGAAGGGGGGGGGGGGGGGGGTTTTAAGAAAAAAAAAACTCACCTTGTTGAGGTAGTAGTTCTGGCCAATGAGCTTCTCCAGCTGGGACTGCACGTTGACAATCTTGGAAGCTGGGAACTCAAACTCAACCACGGGCACACGAGCCTCCTTCAGGTGCTTCAAGAAGCCGACCTCGGAGGGTTGGAGGAACATCAGACTGCGACCCTTGCCGTCAGCACCACGGGCGGTACGTCCGACACGGTGAATGTAGTCACGGGGATCATCAGGAGGATCGAATTGGATAATCCAGTCGACGGCAGGGATATCCAAGCCACGGGCGGCAACATCGGTACAGATCAGGGTACCTTGCTTGGCGTTGCAGAATTCAAAGAAAGTATTAGTACGGGCTTGTTGCTTCTGCTTTCCGTGCAGCGGCAGAACGGGAAGATCAATGTAGTTCAGAAGCTCAGCGTGGTATTTAACGCAGGCGCAGCTGGAAAAGAAGACAATAATCTTCTTCTTCAGGTTACGCTTCAAGAAAGAGAACAAAAGCAAGAAACGCTTGTCAGCTTCACAAAGAACGTAGCCTTGTTCCAGACCGGCCACTGTGCTGTGCTCCTTTCGGTGGTCGACGTTGATGTAAAGGGGACCAGGGCGCAAGGAAATGCGAGCCAAGTCCTCGACCTTGGTGGTCTGCGTGGCGGAGAAAAGCATGGTTTGACGTTCCTCAGCGGGTAGAATCTTGACAATCTGGCGCATCTCATCTTCGAATCCGACCTCGAGAATACGATCGGCTTCGTCGATGATCAGGGTCTTAAGGTTCTTGAAGATAAATCCTTGGGTGTTCTGCAGGTGATCCAGCAGACGACCAGGAGTTGCGATGAGCAGGTTGACACCCTTCATCAGCTTCTCAGCCTCGGCACGACGGTTGGCGCCTCCGATGACAATACCGTAAGTCTGTGAGTGGTGGGTCATGAGTTCACGAGCGACACCGAAGATCTGGAGAGCCAATTCACGGGTGGGGGATACAACAATAACACCAGTGCCTGTAATGCGATGTCAGTAAATCAATTCCGTAGTACAAGATAGAACGGGGAATGGGAACTAACCGTTTCTGGGCTTAAAGCGCAGAGCCTGCAGCATCTCAATTGCGGGGATCAAGAAGGACAATGTCTTTCCAGAACCAGTCTTGGCCGCTCCAAGGACATCTCTGCCCGCGAGCAAAGCGGGAATGGTCCTCTGCTGAATCTCGGTCATTGTCGTGAAGCCCATATCCTGGATACCCTTCATTGTGTTTTCAGAGAGTTTAAGCTCGGAGAACTTCTGCAGCTCGCCCTCAGTTTGTGGGAGACGGACGTCGTCCATTGTGGGAAGATCGGCGCCGTTTGCGGCATCGGTGGCATCGACATCCTCAACATCGCTGTCCTCCTCGGCGTTGACCTCCTCGACATCCTTGACCTCATCGGCGCTCTCATCGGCGCTTGGTGAAGGGCTGACCTTGCGCTTCTTGGTGGACTTCTCGGCTGAAGCCTTGGGCTTAGGGGTCGACGAGGAACTCTTCTTCGGCGTCACAGCAGGGCTTGCCTTGGCCTCAACTGGCTTTGCGACATCACTCTCTGACTTAGAGCCGTGCTTTCTCTTCCGCTTGTTGATGGACTTTGCGGTGTCCACGGGGCCAGGCATTTTGTTGATTCGTCCTGCGATAGTGGCAGATAGACACTAGAGCAAGAAGACAAATAAATGGTACGTTCCACCTGAACCTTGTGTTTTGCAAGTCCAGAAGGTGTTTGATCTCTGCCGGCGGAAAGCTTTTTTTTTTATCGGTGAAATACGGCAGAACACCATTCGGCCGCCGCTTCACCGCCCTGCCCACCCACGCTCTGAGTCATGTGATATCTTTAGCACGTGACCTTGATCATGTCCACCTGCGCAAGGCCGGGGGTGTCCTGGGCAGTCTGGCCCTTGTCCTTACTCCCGAGTCCAGACCTCGGGCTCTCTCTCAAAAGATACTACCTAGGTAGTTTTATTAATCTATGTGAGGGGGACTTAGTTTTCCTACTACATTGTATGGGGACTGGAAGTACGGAGTAGTACTGAGCGTATTGTTAAATTTGGGGTCAAGGCGGTCATGCCACATTTTGGAAAGCGGTGGGTTGGTGCCTGACCTTTTGGGTGTCTATCTTACTAATGAGGTTAGAGAGGTGGATTAGGTATAATGGGACCCTAGATCTACACTGCTGGCCATGAGTTATGAATCTATTGGTTCACAGTGTTCCGCCACTCGTAAAGTATTGAACACCACCAAACATATGATGATATTACTGAATGTCTAAATGGCCACGCAAACCGGACAGGTAGAAACCAAGCTTCTAGCTTGCCAGATCGTGGAAGGAGATGTTTGAAACCCCACACAAGCCTTTTTCAGTGAGATCTTCACCAATTACATCCTTGCATAAAGTCTTTTGCTTCTGGGAGGTAAACCCTTTCAAAGCTGGCGGTAGGCATGACTCCAACCGAGTGCCATATTCATCAACCCCGTGCACCCTATGCGAGTCAGAGATGGGAAAATAAAAGGAACCAGATTATTGGACTTACCAAAGAGGTTCCTTGGAAGAACATGCATGGTTTCGAGTTTGCATGGAGATTGTCAACGAGTACAATGAGGCATCCCATTGCTTCAAAATTTCTTCACGCCACTCTCGAGCAGCAACGTCAGTGGGCTCCAATGTTCTGATCTGAGACTTGCGCAGGTAATTAAGTGTGGCCATGATCCACCTTACTTGGTGCTCAATGACCGTTGGGGCATTTGCCCGGGGATTGGGGGCCCCAGGGCCATTGAGGTAGAACATGTTTGGGAAGCCAGGCACGGTCATGCCTAAGTATGACACGAACGAATTTTCCCACGCATCTGCTAGCTTCATTCCGTTTCTTCCAGTGATATCCAGTGCGAGAATTCCGCCCCCAAGTGAGTGGTAACCAGTCGCAAGTATGATAATGTCAAAGTCGCGATGTACCTCACCACTCTGAATCCCGGTTTTGGTAATTTCCTTCAGGGGATTCTCGGTCACATCCACGAGATCCACAGTGGGTAGATTGAATGTCTCGTAATAGTTGTCGATAATACACGTTCTCTTAACTCCAATGGGATATTTTGGGGTTGATGGAACAAGGATATCTCGTTTGGCGGTGTCAACGACCTTTTCTCGAGTTCGCTTTGCCCAGAAAGAATATAGGTCATCGTTGGCTGATTTGCTGTGCCACACATCCTTAAAATTCGAAAAGAGGATGTGCCACTCTCCCTTCTCATAAAGATAGTTGTAGTAGACCTGCCGCATAGGGCTGTCTAATGGGACTGCGGTTGGATCGAGAAAAGCATGATCCAATCCGGTGAATGTGGAAAGTGACTGCGCAGCAAAAAGCCTTTCCTTGCTGGTTATCTGCATTTCATGATCTCGGCACATAGATCTTTTAGGCGAAAGAGGAAGGGCAACCACTGGACTCCGTTGGTAGACAGTTAAAGATCCAACGGAAGGCCCAATCTCTCGAACAATCTGGCAACCCGATGTTCCAGTCCCAATGATGGCAACTCTCTTGCCCTTGACATCAATACCAGATGAAGGCCAAGCCCCAGAGTGATAAATTTGGCCTCCAAACTGTTGACCTTCAGACCGTTGCAATCCCTCGATGTTAGGCACGTATGGCTTAGATGAAAAGCCAACTCCCAAAATGAGCCATTTTGCCCGAAGCAGTCTTCCATCGGAAACTGACACCTGCCACATCCCAATTGTCTCATCAAATTCCGCTTTAGTTACCGCAACTTCGAAGTCGTAATCCTTGCTGATATTCAATTTTGAATCAACGTAATTGAAATAGTCAATGATCTCCGGTCGCTTAGCAAAGTTTTCTGACCATTGCCAGTCACTCCCAAGGGTCTCGTCCATGATCTGATAAAAGGGAGCAGGGCTGTCGCATCGAGCCCCGGGGTAGCCATTGGTCACCCATGCGCCACCCAGAGACGAGGAACGTTCAATTCCCCTGACAGAAAATCCATCATTACGTAGACTATAATACATGTTAGAATTGAGAATCAGAGCCAAATTGAAAGGATTATAAGGAAGGGTACCGTTGAAGACTCCGTATTCCAGCGAAGCCTGCACCAACCACAATCGCATCATAGTAGTATTGCATTTTCGGTGAACTTCGTGAACTGATGGGCTTTCAAACTTGAAGCTCGTCGGCTAGATAGGTTAATTCCTCTGGAGTCAAGATGGACATTCTCACCTCTCTTGTACTGTGAATTTCTTCTTATATGCCTAGAGCGCTTTGACCGATGGCGTATCTGTTATTGCTACATTCCCATTACCCTCAAAAATACGCAAGGATCAACTAGATCTGTGTAGCCCAAATATTTTTCTGTAGTACGTAGACATGTATGCACAACGTTAGGCGATCCCCAGGTACTGGGTCCAAACCCCATTCAGAAAAAGTGAGCGGGTTACGGCCGCGGCAGGGCATGTAGCCCCCAATCGTACCTAGGTAAGGTAAATGAGATCTTCCCGAGGCCACCAAACTCCTTACCTACAACATACGGTGTATAAAGTAGAGGATTGATTAGATCTGTGTAGCCTATATATTTTGAGACTACGTACAGTAGACATATATGCACAATGTTTAGGTGATTCCTAGATGAAGTGAGTGGGTTACGTCACAGGGCATATAGCTCCCAATTATAAGGTATATGAGGACATTTACCGAACTCCTTACCTACAACATAAAGTGTATAAAGTAGAGGATCGACTACATCTGTGTGGACCACATATTTTTAGGGCTACATACAGTAGACATGTACCTAGGTATGCATAACGTTTAGGTGATTCTCAGGTCCACGGGTGCTAGATCCAAACCCCATTTAGACAAAGTGAGCGGGATAGGTAGGGCAACTAGCCCCCAATCGCAAGGCAAATGAGGATCTTCACCCAACTGCTACCTACAATATACGGTGTACAAAGTAGAAGATAGATAGATTGTTTTTTTTTTTCCTCTCTACTTTCAAATTTACCCACCATCCGACTCGGAAGATCATGAGGTGTGGCCTGAAGAACGAGGAAAGTGGAATCAAGGTTGTGAATTTACTTTTCATGTCACCGGCTCTTCGGTATATACCGAAGAGCTATCGCATATAATCGAGCAGACTAAGATAAACAATAACAGTATTGTTGATATTGGTGGTTGGTTGGTTCGAGAGAAGATTATCTACAACTATGTGAGATAATTTATCAAGAAGTGGTCATCTGACTACGACACAGTTTCAAATACCATCCTATTTTCACATTATCCTAGTGCCTACAGATAGCTGGTGGGTATTTAAAAGTGATGTTACTGGGTAGGAGAGAACAACCCAATCGAGATGGACAAACTCACGAGTCACGTCTCTGTTTGATTTGATGAATGTTCTCTTCTTTTATTTTTCCTACCGGGTGCTTTGTGCTTCCAGTGGAGGGGTTTTGGGCTACTGGTCATTAACTAACCAAAATCAATATTGTCTTTATTCATGACTCCGGTGACATATTAAATGAAAATTGATTGCTCTGCCCAGGTGATTACCTTCCTGAATCCCAACACAGCTATGACACTTGCATCCCTATTTTTGGTATGCTGCTCCTATAGGCCCCTTCTTCTCAGTTGCTATGTTTTTCCGAAATGTGGGCTCACGCATTAAGAGTCGTAAGCTCGCGGAAGCGGTGGTTGTCGGTGTAGAGATCCACGATGGCGCCTTGGGCCGTGGGAGCGCCGAATATGCACTATGCAGGTATTATGTACCTATGTACTGATAACTTCATGGGCCCGCGGGCAAGCTCACGGTCTTCATTTTCCTTGGCCTTTTTCTCGGTATTTTGTCAATTTGCTGCCCAGGTGGCCACATCATCTTAGTACGAAATCTGCATGCATATTCACAAGGAGAAATAAATAATAAATCCAAACTCGTACTCTCAACGTTTGCCAATATTTCTGATACAAGCCCACATGCAGAGCATGTGGGGATTTGGACGAGTCCCGAGTTCATCAAAATCAGCGACCTCGGAGGTGTGACAACACCTACAGCTGCAGATTACTGCCATTTATGTATCGCGATATACCGCCTGTAAGGATATAATATATGAAGCTTGCACTCTCTTAGTTCTATCTACCTCTCCCAAAATACAAAGAAAATTGAGTCAGGTACCATCCGTAAGCATGGGGGCCTCGATTGACGAGGATGAGAAAAATTAGTAAGTCCCTATGATGTTCAATCTTTGGCTTTTTATTAATGGACCTATAGCCTTACATGGGAGCAGCTGCAGCCAAATCTTGAAAGCATTCGAAAGTTGGCTTTGGAGGTAGCCCCCTCCCCTGCGCCACAAAAGAATACCATCTTGAGATGATGGGATCAAACTGGCACTAACCAGCAACATCTATGCTAGCAACTTATCTTTCTATGGCAAAAATACAAAGACGTTGACAATTTCCCACCTTTGTTTGGTGATGAGGTGACTGACCTACCATACCTAAAAACATACACAAACACATCAAGACTAATTTGCTACCTATCAGATTGAGTGTACTCTAGTTTTACTTGACCACCAAAGCAAAAGAGCTACCTTGAATCTTCAACAGCAGCAGACTCTAGAGAGGTGGAAGGAGTATCGGAAACAGTTAGGGTCCTATTTCTTTGATCTTGTCAGAGATGAGACTTACACTTCTGCAGAAACCCCTCAAACGGGTTTCAACTTCATCCAGAGTCAATGATCTATATGATGGAAGTGGTAGCAGATCCGCCTTTTGGATCTGATATCTTGCAGATTCTCGAAGTGGAACGCAATCTGGCCAAAAGGTACGGTTTCCAACAACAAAGTGGCAGCAAACAACAACTTTCTTAACATTATATGCAATCTTGCAGACGCAGTACAGTCCAAGGTCTTTTGGGATCAGACGAGATCGCCATCACAATTCCAGTATTCCCCCGATTGGGTACAGCAAGGTCGTTTACCACTCCCGATCTTCCGCATTGTGACAATGGCTCCCACGTCAACTTGGATCCTTTATTCACCAGCTACAAACGATGGAAATGTCTAGCAGACAACTTGAAGTCTCGACGACAGCGAGAATTCGAACTGGAAGTGCCTCTGTTTCAAGACATCAATACATCTAACGGTAGTGTGCTACTGGATCACTTTGGGTACGGCTCAGGCGGTTGTGCCTTGCAAGTGACCTTACAAGCAAAGAATATCGATGAAGCATGCTTACTCCACGATCAGCTTTCCATATTGGGCCCACTGATGCTTGCAATGACAGCCGGAACACCAAGCTACAGAGGACTTTTGACAGACACTGATGTGCGCTGGGATGTTTTGCAATCCCTTCTCGACGACAGAACTCCCGAGGAGTTGCTAGAGATGGTACGTTTACAATTTCAGTTTCATATCTCATGGGGTGTATAATCATCTTTCTATGCTAAATGGATTCGTCTATCTCCAGAACGGAATGGAGAGCGATGCAATCCATGCGAAACTCCGAGGAAGCACGAGTCCAATCTACCTTTCGGAAAGTGACGATGTACAAGAACACTATCAGTCATACCTCGCACGTCCCTCTGAGGTCCAGGATCAATTGAAGAGAAAAGGAATGGCCAATGGCCTTGCATCTCATTTCACCCATTATCTTCAGTATGATCCTATCATCCTGGAGCCTGATCATGTAGAGTCTTTTGGTCCTGAAGATTCTTACCATTTCTCAACCCTCTACCGTTCTGCGTGGCCTCATGTTAGGCTCAAATTCCCCGAGGGGAAAGATACAGGATGGCGTCTCGAGTTTCGGCCCATGGAAGTTCAATTGACCGACTTCGAAAATGCGGCCTTCATCGCATTCATGGTTTTATTGCGACATTCGATAGAATATTACAAACTCAACTTGTACATTCCCATGAGGCTTGTGGTCAAGAATATGCAAGCCGCCGGTAAGCGGGATGCTGTTCTCCAAGAAAAGTTCTGGGTCCGCAGTGGCGACTGCCTGCCAAAGGGCACTCGATGGAAAGGAACTCGTACAGCGACTTGTTCTCAGTGTTCGATGCCAGAGAAGAATTCTCCAACAGCCAAATTCGAGCAGACAACATTACAGGAGATATTTTGCGGTCCAATTCATCACTCCGGTGACGGGGCCACAGATGGTAGTGATGCCGGATTCCCTGGTTTCATACCGCTCATCAAGGGTTTTCTCGAAAGCATTTCGATTGACGATGAGCAAAAGACTGTGCTCATGGGATATATCGATTTTATTGGAAAGAGGGCCTCGGGCCAGCTGTGGACTGACGCTGGCTGGATAAGGCATGTTATCCGTTCTCATCCGTCTTACAAGAATGACAGCGTGGTCACTGAGGAGGCCTGCTATGATCTGTGCTGCCAAATTAAAGACGTCTCGCAGGGAAAACTGCGAATTCCTATGCTTTTTTAAATATCAGTGCCAGGTTTTGCTACTCATGGAATTCATTGTGAGCTTATTCCCGAGTCTCGGTGTCATGAAGCAGTGTTTTGGAAGTCAAAAGGAAGCGAGTAGCTAGCAGATCTACATATATTTTGGAGGAATGATATCTTCTATATTTCCAAGGTTACCTGGGTAGGGCTCCTAAGCGTATTTGTCATCTCTCTTCTCATGCATGGATCAAAAGAATCTTTACTCCCGAGGTCCAAAAGAATGATTATGAAACCGATCTTGGACAATTTCTACCCCTTGTGAGTTGCTGATCAACCCAAACCCTCAACACTTTTGGAAGAGCAAGATACACGCGGCTTGCCACCTATTCTTTCCAAGTTAATTATGCTATCGCGGCTTTCCCAGAACCTTTGAGAAGCTCCTAGATATTATTTTACTGCGGAACCCCTCCTCTATACTAGAAAAAACCTCCGTAACCTCCAAACACCCCCACCCTCGATTACCCAATTGGGAAGTTAGAGACCTAATATTCAAGGCACTAGCCTGGTTTTCTTCCAAGTTGTTTTTGGTGAAGAAGGCGGAGCGGGTAAATTGCCGGCAGAGAAAATGCCAAAGAATAATGATTGGCTGAGCCGTACGACAACCCGTGGAAGTACTTTTAGGTGAGCGTCCCATATTCAAGGTACCTGGAGATCATCACGCCCAGGGGACTGTTTCTCCACCTGCGCAGCCATGGAGGTCTCATCGCTCAATGTCTGCAGTACATAACTAGTCCACGGGTATCCCCCTGCATGAGTCACTATGGAGTACTCCCGTACTTGTACATGGAGGATACTGGAAATGCATGAAAATCTACAAAACTTTGCAAGGTTGCCGAGTGATTTTGTGCTGAATCCTGACCAAGCGATATAGGAAAAAAACCCTGGGAAGTCACTTGCAAGGTTCCAAGGTTAGCCCTGTTGTCAATCTTATCTTACCGCCACCACATAGTTGACTCTGTAAAAAGACGGTGGCGCCGGGAGTTGGTGGCGTGCTGCGCACCCTGGTACTACCTAGTAGATTCCAATGAAAAAATGCATCAAAATTCGCGCGCGCTTCTGTGCGTGTGTCAGCACTGGGACTGCAGGTGGCTCTGCGCCATGAAATATCTTTCCATCTGACATTGGAAGCATCTGAACAGAATTGCATCGAACATAGAGCACAGCGGGCACTGGAATGTGCTAAGAAATAGGCAACTGTCATTATCCAGACAGTACCGATTTTGGCTTGCACCAAGCCCCTTGGCCTAGAGCTACAGCTCCAAAAATCAATAGGCTGCAGGTTTCGCATCAGGATAGGCTTGACGAAGCGGAAAGGCAAAGAAAATAAATGAGATGAGCCCAACTCAGCCCGTATATTACTGAACGGCATGCAACACATCCACGGGTTACTCGAGGTGAGGTCCCATGGTCAAAATTCGCCGTTGTACTCCGTAGTACTGGTTCTCACCTGGGATAGCAGAGTACTGTATAGTAAGGAGTCCACATTGTATGATGCACTCCGTGCGATACTGTAGCTCACACACCTGGGCATACTAGTACAATTTTGTAGAACGCGGTCCCGTGGTGGACAGGGAGGGTCTGGAGGCCTGAATTATGATCGGACCTCACGAGTACCGATTAGCGTATGAATATGCACCTCAAGTGATACATGCGTTCGGGGTAAACCTCAAACAACCCAATCGCGACAAAGAACACTGCCGGCAGAGATTTCTGACCAATGATATTCAAGACGCATTCGAGGGGTCGACCAATGGCCAAAAATAGCCGTGACACTGAATTATGCACGGAGTAAAACACGAGTACGAATTCTCCTAAATAGATCAGGACGCGTCTGAATTACAGTAGACCACACTCAATTATATGACCCATGGGTTCTTTATTTCTGAAACGAGGGAGCATTGCTGTCAAACGAGGCTGTGCAAGCGTGCGAACGCCAAGGTCAATTGATAGGCGTTGATCATCATTACATTATGCAGCCGCTTGAGGTTATTTCTTTCCGTATTGCCTTAGTACCTCTAGCGCAGCAGAATGTCTTTGCCTCTGGGAGCTAAACACGTCTTAGTACGGAATATGGCGTACTTTAGAATTGAATGAGGGCAATATCAAAGGCAAGACCATCAACGTTGGAAGACTATCGATGGAGTTTGTGCGTTACCTAATTTGAGATTCAGGAGTAGGCTAATGGAGGTGCCTGAAGGTGGTAATGAGACCCTCCTTTGACTGCGGAGTACTTTACTTAGTACTGTACAACGAGAATTAATTTCTATAACCGACCCAGGCAGACGAGATTCAACCACTGCTATTCTGGACCACCGTGTACTGAGTAGATCTGTGTCGTGACGCTCCACTGCGGCACAACCCAAAGTCGGGGGCAACAGTTTCTCGAATCCCAGCCAAGGACCCGCCCCATTCCGCCACCGCTTCCGGTGCCTGGGCCAGACATGAGGCACATGGGAGTCAGTCACCTGGGCATTGTGGAAGGAGTACTGTACTCGGTAGATCCGCCAAACAACAAAAGGGACATATACTCCAGAGGTCCAGTGTAGAAGCAGAGTGTGACGGTGGCCAGACAAACTCAAACGGAAATAGGGGACGTTCATTGGCCCCCCAGCCGCCGGTGTCATATTACGGTAATACGTAGGTAATCGCATACTTGCACCCCATTCCAATCGGCCGTTGCATCCCCCTTCTGCGTCCCTGGACTCCCTAACCCTTTTCACCCTCAGTCTCTCATTGTCTTATTTTCTCTTCTGCTGTCGATAGGGAATCGACTTGAACCCATTTCCCCTTTCGAATGTCTTGGACTCCTTAACTCCCTTTTTCTCTTTTTCTTCTGGGCAATACTGCGTATCGCCCTATTCACTCGCTCTCTCACTATCTTGACGGCCTAGGCCTCTTCTATACCCTCCGACTTTCTTTCAGATCCCAAATCGACACTTTCCTTCACATTCAAATCTCGTCCCAAAGGCATACTTTTCGCGAAATTCCACCCGCGCCCCTCACATTCAATGTCCCAGTGAAAGGCGTGAACCACGACAAGACCCCCCCCTACGACCAACTTGCGACAAATAAACAACACCGTGACAGTCTCAGGAGACATCGGGAAACTACCTAGCCCCACGGTGATCCAAGAAGATTCAGCTGGACAGAAACTTCCGCATCCGGCGACTGGCAACGTGGTACTCGGGAGTACCGCTGACACAATTGCCCTCAGATCCCTTCCTCTCATTTTGACCGGATTTTCCTTCGGCGTCTCGCACACTTTACACATCACTCATACGCCAAAATGCGGTTAATATCGCTTCTCACCTGCTTTGTCGCCTTCCTGGCGCCAATGGCATCCGCCCTGAAGCTCCTCGAATCTAATGCGCTCAGTGTTTGCATGGAAAGTAGCAACTTCACGGCAACATATTTCAACGTTGTCTTCTACCCAGGCAACAACTCCCTTGTGATCGGCTTCGATGGTGTTTCCTACATCACGGGTAAGGTCGTTGCGGAGATGACTCTGACCGCGTACGGATACGAGGCGTACTCCAAGACCCTGAATCCTTGTGAAATTGACGGCATGGGCATGTGTCCTATGGCCGCTGGTCCCATGGATTTGGGTCCTCTTTCGCTCGACCTGCCAGGTGACACGGCTAGCAGCATTCCAGGTGAGTTCACCCACGCGCTTGCGGGATCTCGCAAGGAGGCGTACTAACCCAATAAACCTAGGCATTGCCTACACTGTACCCGATCTTGATGCGAATGTTCGAATTGTCATCAAGACGGCCGACACGAAAGAAAAGATTGCTTGTGTTGAGGCATCGCTTTCCAATGGTCAAACCGTATATCAAGTTGGAGTCGCGTGGACAACAGCCATTATATCAGGCTTAGGTCTAGCTGCATCTGCGATTACCTCTGGACTTGGTCATTCCAACACCGCAGCTCACGTTGCGGCGAACGCGCTGTCTCTCTTCGGTTTCATGCAATCGCAAGCCATGATTGGCATGACTTCGGTTCACATGCCCCCAATTGTGCAGTCTTGGACCCAGAACTTCCAATGGAGTATGGGTATCATCGATATTGGATTCATTCAGACCATTGCTACTTGGTACCAGCGGGCGACCGGTGGAACCCCGTCGACTGTCTTCTCGCAGCTTGGAGATACTTCCGTGGAGGTCCTGAAGCGTCGCAAGCGTGATCTGGCCGATTCCGCAATGGGCATAGTCAAGAGATCCGCTGGAACATTGGTTAAGCGTGCAACCGGAATGGCCAAGAGAGCCGACTCGAGCCAGAAACTCCTTGTCATCCGAGGAATCGAGCGTGTTGGTTTCCGCGCTAACATCGAAGCAACAAACATTTTCATGACTGGTCTTATCTTCTTTGCTGCCTTCGTGATTATCGTCGTCATCATTGTTGCAGCATTCAAGGGAATCACCGAATTGCTCGTCAAGCACGGCAAGATGAAGCCCGAGCGCTTCCAGGACTTCCGCAATGGATGGAGAGTTGTGCTGCGTGGTATTCTCTTCCGACTGACTCTCATCGGCTTCCCCCAAATGACCGTCCTTTGCTTGTGGGAGTTTACCCAGCGTGATTCGGCTGCTGAGGTTGTCCTTGCAGTGGTCATGATTCTCTCTATGCTGATCTCCCTGGGATGGGCTTCGCAGAAGGTGATCCGTCTCGCAAAGCGCTCCGTTACCATGCACAAGAACCCCGCCTACATTTTGTACTCCGACCCATCCTGCCTCAACAAGTGGGGCTTCTTGTACGTACAGTACCGTGCGACCGCCTACTACTTTGTTGTCCCATTCCTCATCTACACCCTTATCAAGGGTATGTTCATTGGTCTGAGTCAGCCTGCGCCAGTTGTCCAGACTGTCGCTCTCTTGGTGCTCGAGCTTGCCATGCTTGTTGCCGTCTGCGTTCTTCGTCCGTGGATGGACAAGAAAACCAACGTCTTCAACATCTCCATTGCAGTGATTAACTTCATCAACTCGATCTTCCTCCTGGTTTTCTCTGATGTGTTCAACCCTCCCGGAATGATGATTGGTGTGATGGGTGTGATCTTCTTCGTTTACAATGCCGTCTTCGCCTTGATCCTCTTGATCCTCGTTCTGATCGCCTCGGTCTACGCCGTTATTTCCAAGGACCCTGATACTCGCTACCAGCCTATGCGCGACGACCGTGGCTCTTTCATCAAGTCTCAGACCCAACTCACCACTGAGCTGGATGCCCTAGGTGCTACAGCACGTGGTGACTCCAAGCCCGGAGAGTACCACAACAACCCATTCGACGATGACACTGCTTCCATCTCCAGTGGAAATGGCGCTAGCGTTGGCCATCAAATGCAAACCACCCAAACCACCCACCAACAGCATTCTGTCACTCAGGCTCCCCGGTCACCCGTTGACCCATCCGTGCCGCTCTTCCCCAGCAACGTCTCGGGCCACCACGCTCCTCCAGGATATGACCAGTACGGTCGCGCACCTTCACCTGCCCCCCGGAGCTTCGATAACAACTCCCCGGTTGGGCAATCTGCTTTGTCGGCAAATTACCGAGCTCAAAATAACGCCAGTCCATGGCAGCGGGGCGCTGGCTACGACCACTAAAAGAGGCCAGTGGTCTCGTATTGTTTTGCTTCCGAGATGAAGATATGTGATTTTTCTTTTTAGCGCGGGATACCGATGGTCTATGATCTTTTCCAATCGCCATTCCTCTGGGTTCGGTCCGTTTTTTTTATTATTTTTTTCTGTCTTAAGTGCGCTGCTTCCCTGCCGGCTTAATCAGATACAATTACTTTCTTAATCCACCGGCCTTCACAATGGTGCGATTCTTTTTATCACTTTTTTTTTACTTCCTTTCAGCCTGTATCTCTTTCCTTTCTATTTCTCCTTGATCTGTTCCATTCTTCTCCCCACTGGTTCAGATCACTTTGCGATCGGCTATTTCCCTTGATTTGACTTCTCGGCGTTATTGATGCATTTTGGATACGGTGATTGGCCTTGGGTTTCTATTTTCTAGTCTGGGGCTTCGCAAGCTATTCGCTGTCGAATTCGCCCTTCAACTTCCACTTCCACTTCTGAATTAACGTCAGTATGGTAATAAGTAGTGTCTAAAGCAATGACAAGAGTTCGCCCGCCAACTAGCTCGGTATCGATATCAGTCTTGTCTCGTATACTCTTACCTTGGAATAGAGAAATATATGTCCAACTTGACCTCGGGAGCGAAAGGTACCATGTCAATGATTGTTCCAGGTTACTGCATGTGTTCTGCTAGTCATACCTCGATACTATCGGCTGCCAGGTGCTTCCGTGGTTCCTCTAGACGAAAGTGGCATTTACTTAGGTACAGTCGTACCTTCCTCATCAAACCTATTTCCCCAAAACATTCCAAGTTGGTCGTGGCAAGAGGACGAACTTCAGATCACCACCTGGCACCTGGACACCTGGGCAGGGTTGATCAATCCCACTACGTACCCTGCCCAGGAACCTTCCAAGGTTCCAAGGTTGGAATCATGCACCCGTGAGTCGTGACAGGGCAGAATGGACTGCACGGTGCGAGAGGCATGGCTACCATCCATCTCCATGAGGCCCCGAGTCCCCTGAGACTCAGTTCTTTTTGATCCTCCAGTGAGTACCCTACATTCCAGCCTGGAGCCACGCAGACCTCGGGAGCGCAACAGAGCCTATGCGATGGAAGTAGTACATTCGATGCTAATATATTGACTCTCAGTACCCTCCACCACCACCACCATCATCACCGCCGCCATCACCAACGCCAACTTCGTCGGGGCATCTACGGTGGTCGTGACACACAGCTCTGGGAGTCACAGCCTGTGTGATGATAGCAGGGAATGCGTCAAGAGAAGAAATGTCGAACAGGGAATCGACAATTTTCTCGTGGTAGGCCAACCGACCTTCTCGTCAACTGGTATGGATTTCCCTGGCTAATTATCGATTCTAGAACCTGAGGCAGTTTCCCGGTCTTCAGACCCATCAGACCCCGATACCAAGTGAGGATGCCATCCATGGATGTGCTGATGCCGGATTCTCGAATGCTTGTAGCTGAATCCCGGCAAGCAAGTTATCGTTAAGAGCTTCCAAAGCTGGAACCAGAAAATGAATTGTTTTACTAGGTACTGCCTTTTTCTGGTGCCCAGGTGCCATCCTGTCCGTCACTACCTAGTAATATCAAGATCAAGTCTTCAATGTATGTGACTACACATAAGTACAGATACCCAGTACGTAGTTTCGAAGGTTATATCGGCGAAGACATAACCAGGGAGTGTTCTATACCAGGAGTATTGGAGTGCAGTTACGTGACGGCGTATTGGGACGCTAAATTCAAAACGACGAAGCTAACCCAATAAAGTAACTTGTAGGTCTGCAGTTCACATTAACAAAGAAAGAACCACGACATGCCATGCCCTGTGCATTGGCGCATCACATCGCGGTCAAGGGTATCAGCAACGCACGATCTCACCACCGCTGGTCCATCGCAGAAGGAGGACCGCCCCCAGGGGGAGGAGGATATGCGTCCAAGCCGCGCGGACCTGTAGGGATAGATGGCCCACCAGGAGCGGGGCCACCAGGGACCGGGCCCATACCCTGAGGCATGGGTGGGAAACCACCGGGGGGAGGGAAAGGAAGGTTAGGGAAGCCGCCTGCGCCTGGAGGAGGAATGCCGCCCTGGGGCATGTTAGGGAGGGGAGGGGGGAAGCCGCCTGTTGGAGGGGTTCCGGCGTTGAAAGGCGGCGGGAAGGGAAGACCGTGGGCTCCTGGGGCTGGAAACCAGTAGGGGTTAATTTGAGGGTGTCCATGAGATCCTGGGAATAGGGGTGGGTCGAAATATGACATACGAGGGATCATAGCGGGAGCGCCGGGGGCACCGGGTGGTGGGATTCCGAATGGTGGAGGGGGCATGCCGGGGTGGCCTGGAGGTGTCAGTATCATCACTTGGTGTGCGGTTGGTAGTCATACCAGGGAAGCCGCCGAAAGGAGGAGGGAAAGCGCCTGGAGGCATCATGTTGGGGACCTGCTGGCCCTCTGCGGCGTAGGAGGAGGTGATGGAATCGATGACGGACTGGGCCTTTTCTTGACCGATTTCTAGATGGTCTCATCAGCACTCGTCCATTGGGAAGACAGTGTAAGGCATTGCGCTTTCGTGGTGCGTACGTTGGTAGTAATCCACCACGTTTCTCAGGTGGTTTCGACCGGAGTTATGCGCTTTGCGCACACTCATCGAGTCGTGTGTCAGGTAGACATCGCAGTAATCGCCTGTTGATCGAGCTCCAAGTCAGCAATCTAGTCCGCAGGGAACCAAGCAACCGATCCTAGCGTCCAGAGCTGCATATCAGGTCGCATCCACACCCGGAATAAGCCCGACACGGCACGGCTGGGTCTGTCAAGACTCAATTCATTGGGGCAACCTACAGAAGAGTGCACGGCAGGTTAGCTTTCAGTTCAGGATTGAGGATTGGAGATACTTATATTTGGGCATCTTGCTGGTTTCTGAGCAAGTAGACTTGCTGTCGTCGCGCGAAACAGGAAAATTCCCTTTTGGGTAGGTGGTTGGCAGGTGGAAGGACCTTGCCGGCAGTCAATATTTCCGCGTATTGAAGCTTTGCTCGCGCAGATTCGAGCTAGAAGCTAAGATCAGGGAAAAGTATGTTGGCAAGAGACTCTTGCAAGCGGGTTGGCACGTCTGGAACTTCGATCGCGAGGGTTGGACCGGTGGCGATCGGCAGAATGCAGGAGCGCCGCAAAAGGTTGAGAGCACTTGGGCTGACCGCCCTTTCTGTCAGTAATTCTGCCGGCTCAAACTACTGTAGTTCTGAATATGAACCTTGTGAGTTAGAAGTGAAGAATCCTGGGATAAAGGGCATGGTGGTAGGGCTCTGGTTTATTATAGAAAGTTACCATGATACAGATAAAATAGCATACAATGCGTTTGTGATTCTATTCGCAGTGAGCCAAAATCTTCCTTAAGAAAGCGGAAAGGCGAGCGGTCAGAAGGGTTCTATCTTATCCGGCTATTTCTGCGGGCGAGTGGAGGGCTTTCCAAGGTTGGTTTCACCCACCTGTGACCTGTGAGGAGTGAAGACTCCATCGATACATCAGATAGTTGAGACTAGAGTGTGGAGTGGACATTGATCGAGACTGGGTTCATTGCTCAAACCGAGCATTCTAATGGGTTCCGCCCATTCCATGATAGAGAAAGAAACAGACAATGGTATCACGCTAATGACAAATGACAGTGAAAAAGAAGAATAAAAAATACACAGAGGTCAAACTGGATCACGCTGCTCATTGCAGGAAGACCAGGAGCCATTCAACTCAAGGTGTGACTCTCTTGATGGAAACTTTTGAATACCCTCGGACCTTGGTGGGCCAATAGTTGAAGGCGTGGCGTTGTTTGAGCGGTTGCCGCTCCATTGCAGCTCCATATGAAGCTCGTCTCGGTTCAGCTGGTCGACATTCTCGATGCTCGATGGGTCTGTGCGCACAATGACGAGCAAGCTGTTGAGAACAGTAAACTCCAATAGGGATTTGATGCTGTAGACGACCGGTTTATAGGTTGTTTGGACGTCAAAATGGTTGGTGTACTCTGTTGTCAATAGAGAAGCGTCGAGTAAGACCGCAATGACATTGACGGCGACGAGGTTCATCAGGACCCTCTGGCCCTGGGTGCCTTTGATTTGCAAGATGGGCCGCAGGGTCGTCAAGGCTTCCCAGATATAGAGGGCGCTGAGAATAGTTTCTTGGACAGCGAATCCTGCCAGTTGGATGCGCTCGTAGATATTGAATGGTTTATCGAGAGAGTGTACGCCACGGTTGATGCCAAGAAACAGGACTGTAGTGGGAATATGCAAGGCGCAGAAATTGAAGAAGATCATGAACAACACCCATCGAGAGTAGCGGTCATATGAAGTGACCAGATGAAGTCGAGAATAAAGTACCACAGCCTGCCCTGTGACCATAGCGTACCAGCCGATACAGATCAAGACACACATTGGGAAATTAGGAGCAAGCGCAAAGTAGCGAAGGAAAGATGTGATGGTGTGGAGCAGGATTCCCACTGTGGAAATCAACATGCTCCAGAAGTAGAGGCCGCGGTATCGCCTGAAGGTGGTGAAGATCGATACCAGGATGTGCAGAACATTCCAACACGCCAGGGCGAAGAGTCCCGCAATCACCATTGAATGGGATCGCGAGACCTCCACCGGGCCTGTTTCACCTGCCATTCACACAGCGGATCAGATACTGAAGTCGACATGGATGCCATGAAGGGGAAGACCAAAGTTATGAAGTGTGATATAGGAGGTTCGTGTGGCGGAAATTGAGTTTCTTGGCGTGCCCTAATCGGGGTAATCTGGTCCATTTAGAGTTCTGATGTTCGTCATGCACTCTTCCCTCCTCCTTTGCTGCGGTAGAACAACGGTAGAATACTGGACATTCCCCTAGGCATACTTAATTCGTATGGGAAACTTGGAATACGCCCTGGAAAGAATTCAGTCAGGGGCAGTGGCCATTCGGATTGACAGCTCAATTTTAAATTACGGCCCAAGAGTGGCTGAGCCCTCATTAAGGCGCCAATGTAAATTGGATTTTCGAAACTACCTTGATACTTTCACTATGATGGTGGCTGGCCCAGAGAGGCGGTTTTCTCATAGTGCGTATTGTACTCCCGTGTCCCTGAGCGATCCAACCCAGCTAGGATATGGTAGATCCAGCCAATACTAGTAGACCTCGACCCTTCCGAGACCAGGGACCCTGGCAAGCACGTGGCTGTATCAGATATGAAACGCTCCAGGGCTGTCAGTACGATTCCAGGTTCGTTGATCCAACGGTCATGGCGTTGCTTTCGCCATTCCCATTTTTGAGTCTGCATCTCCTTGCATATACTCATTTAGTGGTAGCATTTACAGTAAAACTCCTCTACTGGATCCACTACCCCGCGGAATGGGCCTTTCTATCAGCGTTGAGTCCGTATATGACAGGGGCCCAAGCTGAGATTTTCAATAGCGCTGAGAGATCTTACCTGGTTACGGAGCGGCACGGTACGGCTTGGAAATTTGTGGAGAAAGACAGCCCCGCTAGTGAACTCGGGCGGTTGAGCGGAGGCCCCACGTCAGCGATTATGGACTTGAATGTCCCTGCATTCTGATCGATTATTTGATCTACCCGCGGATCCGCTTTCAGTCCACTAATTTTTGCGATTATAGATATCGTTGTACTTCCCCAATGCCTGTTGGGTGAGTACGTTCAACTCAATGCCCTCGAAACGAGCAGGGGCCACAGCCTCTAGAAGAGGCTGATCTTCGGGCGCTGAAGCAGTTCCAGCTTCACGACAGATTTCCCTCGATATCAGCTTCGCAGTACCGGCAGCGGTAGTAACCCAGATTGCAGCGCAGATCCACAGATTTACAACATCGGGTACTTTCCCTGCTAAGGGTAAGTTGTCAGGGGTGACTGCAAAGATCCCATTGAACGGCTCCTTGGCAACCCAAGGATCAGAGTCACTGTCAGACCCTTGCACTTGGAATTCGTTCCCGTTCTTCAAATGCGAAGCAGCTTCAGTGAGGATCTCATTGAACTCCGAGGGCCAGGCTCCGATAGCTGTTGTGCTTGGATCGAGATGCATTGGAGCGTGATTGTAGCTGCCGAGACCATCTCGATCACCATGGTCCCTTGCGTAGACATGGTGATCTGGCCAGCGAACAAATGGGTATGGTTTTCCAGAGCGTTGAGCCCGAGCCGCGGTGAATGTGTAAGGGTGCGCGACAGGGACAATAGGCACAGGAGCTCGAGTGATTGGGAGTTTCGCGCCGTTGGTAGGGCATGTCAGCGACGAAGTCCATATCCCAGAAGCAAGGATGACGGTACTGCCTGCGAGACTGATATCCCCTTCAGAGGTTTGGATAGTTGTCATCTCGGTTTGGTCGTTGTCGACGTTCGACGTTGTGAACCCAGTGACACTGGCTTCCACAAAGCTCACCCCTCGGCTTCGCGCTTGGTCAAGATAATGAGATGTGATCTTCTGCGCATTTGCGGTCCCGTCGGAAGGGAAATACAGTCCAATGTCCACTGAGTCAGGGGCGATGAAGTCCGGAGCAAGAGAAGCTGCAGTCTCAGGCGTGATGATTTCGGCGGGTAAGCCAGCAGCAAGCGCCATCTCGCACCGACGACGCAAGGCCTCCACACCCGAGGGACTCGATGAAAGTTCCAGCCCACCAACAGGGCTGAAGCCATCGGGGATCAAGAGGTACTCCGAGACCGTGTCTTTGGCGAGTTTGGTCAGAACCGGTGACTGATTGAGCTGACCCACGAATCCTGGCGCGTGGCCCGTTGAACCTAGAGACTTCTTCAAGCATCGATCAATGATGACAATTTGACGGTTGCTGCTGCTAGGAAGATCCCTCGAGAGGTAAAAAGCGAGAGCTGCACCGACTATGCCTCCTCCAACGATGAAGATGCGTTCGGAAGAAACATTGTCATTTAGGTCGGAGATATTCAGCGTTGATGCCATGATGCTCGAGGCGCAAGATAGTAGTCGTGTACTCTGTAGCTCTTCAATGCCATTGCGCATGACCGCAACTACTATAAGCATCACCGGCGAGCGATATCGGCGCTCCTATCCCCTCTTGTATCCGCCTTCAGCCGAGTCTGAGCGCCATATTCGCAAATTGAAGCTATTTTTGGACTCGGTCATAAGCCCAGCTCAGTGAACATAGTACCCCACCGAGCTAATTTTGGCACTTTGCAAGTCGCAACGTGATAGGTAGGTGTGGCTTGAAATATATGTAAAAGGTCGACCCGGGTGGAGCATGGGCGACCTTGTACAGCGAAGAGGAAGTGCGGCAGTGTATTCCGGCCTTGGATGTAGATGAATCATATGGAGGAACATTTTGAGTCTGGTAATAGTCAATACCAACAGAGCTGATCCGGAATTAGGCCGGAGAGAGCGTACCAGATGAGAGGAAAGTCGAACCACAGCATCCGGGTCGCGATTCGACTGCCAAGCTGATGTCGAAGGTATAGATCGTGCAAAGTATAGCAAAGGGCCGGAAGAGCTTCTGATGCCAGGATATCAAAGTCTCCACTCGACGGGAAGATCCGTTGTCTTCTCTCGATTCAGTGATATGACTTACAGAGGATCGATGCTGGTGCATTCACCCGTTCCTGCACGCGTTTGAATGAGCCTTATAACTCCGAGACGATCCAAAAAGGAGAAGTTTTCTGAACCTGACGGAGGAGCAACAGGCAAGAAGCGTCAATATTGATGTATAGATACCCGAAGATGATGAAGGATACTAGCTGTGTACCTTCTAGAGAGCCAAGAGGGGAGAGTGAAAGTGAAGTGGAAGAACCACGAGAAGGAGAGCGGACTCAGGCCAAAAATGCTGCTGAGTTGTGAGATCCATTGACCGATGTTTCTTTTGATCTCTCAATGCTCCCTGTTGATTGATAGCAAAGTAAGTGTACACCAATCGACTTCCAAGCTTGATTGCCTCAACGCATGCTTCCCAATCGCATCTCCAGCTCAATCTGACACCACAGAAAAAGTCACACCCGAAGCACTCTGCTCGGATCCTCGAAATCGTCGTGAAGCCAGAAATTAGCAAATCCCAAACCCAACCCGCGTCTCGCGTTCTGAACCCAAAATGCAGGCTTCGCGTGACAACCAGCCAGACCCTCCCGGCACCACACCTCGCCAGGCAAGCGACACCACCGAAGCCCCGATTACTGAATTCCTTATTTCGTGGATCAGTGATGAAATCGCGGTCAGCCCCCTTCACCCAAAATCCCAGCGAATCTTGGGAGTGGGCCCAATCGAATCGATCGAGAGATTTGATACCGTGGACACATTTGTCTTTCGAGACCCCTGGGCGTTTCATGTATTTGTCAGTGGAACTGCCCTTGGAGGCGCCACTCCCAGACAGGGGAAGATACGCGACACAGTGACCAAAGTCCGTCTCGACCTCATTCATTCCATCAAAGACGAGCGACCCGCCAAAGGAACAAGTCCAATCATTGCCAAATCTTACTCGGACTGGAGACAAGCCTGCAAGGGATTGCCCAAGGGACATGGCATCACTGAGGTCATCTTCGATCTCAGCAAGTCCAAGAATGAAGACGGCATTTACGGCGAACCTTTCATTTTGAGCCCTGTCGTTCAGAATCTCAGCACTGTCATCGCGCTCAAGTCTCGGGGTCCATTCTGCAGTCGTTTGGAAGGTCTTGAAACGGATGAAAACAGAAGAGCGTATGTGGAGAACTCGTTGGTCTCCGTTGTGGTTTCAGAGTCTGGGGAGAGGCGGGTGAAAGCAACGAGAATGTGATTCTTTGCTTGGGCGAGCTGTGGTCCAAACTGGAGATGGAGTCACTACTTCCATGGTAGTCGGTATGCTCTGGGCGATGTATCATTCTCATGACTGAGTGTTTCTGGAAGCCGAGGGCCGGCAATGATGAATGTCTGGGAGGATATGGTCGGGCTTAGCAGCATTGAATGTCAATCGAGAACTTTCCCACAAATGAAACTATTCATCAAGAACCTAGGCCGTGCTACAAAGATCCAGAGTAATGCGAGGGATGTCACACAAACACCGAACAAGCATTGCAAGGTTCCCTCCAGCCACAGGACACTGGTCTCAGCTCTGTACCCAGTCCAAGTTTCAATCCCAACGCAAACCAAAATCAAACGACCTTGCCTGGGTACCGGCATCACACAACAAGAGACAAACCGAACCCAAGTCAGCTCACTACGCAACCGACAGCCCCGATGACAAGCTCGAGCACGCAACACCGCATAGCCCGCCGCTTTGTACTCCGCACTCTGTACTCCTTACCAAGTGAGAATCAAACCCCTGCGATGGTGACACAGCTGACCCTACCACCGGATCCAATCCGAGCTACACGAGGATCGAAATTGCCTCAGCGCAGTCGTAATGCCGTGCCGATGATACAATTACTTAATGACAATGCTGTACAAGTCCAATGAAGAAATCACTCAAGTCGAGACTATGCACGTACACTGGATAGGGCACATTGAGGTTCTGGATGATGGTCTTGGCGATTGGTAGATCTAGGAGCCTGGAATATACCCTCGGGCCTCTGCGCGATTTCCGCACTGCGTACGTGAATCATGGCCCATGGGTACCTAGTAGCCGTGCCACATAGGTAACTGTTTCCGTTGAACGGGGTCGAATGTGGTATCTGATCCCCGAACGGTCCCCCCGGATTTCTGAGGCGGGGGAGGGGTAAGCTCGGGTATCATCCCGAGGCAACGCTACAGTGGTCCGGATTCGGTATGGCGGGTATCCTTGAGTATGGCGTAATGCCCAGGTGGCAGAGCCTTGAGCTGTCTTCAGCCTTGAACGTTAGGCGCAGTTGCACCAGAGACCGAAGGTCCCGTCATACGTGGACCGGCTTCCAAGGTTCCCTGCGACCGGCTACGATGTCAGCCGGTTCCCGGCTGGGGAGTCTCGACCAGGCGACACCGATAATCATGTGTCATGGCTCTGCGCTATTATCTAATACCTTGGGGATATCGAGTAAGGCTGGCCAACTGTTGGGGGAAGGGGCTGTGGGATATGCAGTACACATTATACGGATGATGCGATGGGTCTAGGGGATTCGGTGACATTGGCAAGGGATGTGAGATGTGAGATGTGATTTAATCACGCATGATTATACCATAATTTGGGTTGTTAAGTTATGCTACACAGAGTTTCATGGCCCAATTGGGATGTCGGGATGCTCAGTGTACCTGAGTACTGCACTGCGTACTACAGTCTGCACTGTGTAGGGATGTAGACCACGTGAGGGAAAGGATTGGCGTGTTGCCAGCCCTGGAGATCCGAGGCATATCGTCATCTTTTGCAGGTCATGCCGCGGGAGACGCATGACTCTGGGGAATCGAAAATCTGGGGAAGAGGCCAGCGATTGGTGTGAATCACCGCTCGGAACTCTCAACCAGTCACATGGACCTCTCCTTGAATCTTCCAAGGTTCTCTCTTTAAGCGATTTTTCTTTTTGCATTTCAGTACGGAGGTTGTTCTCCCAAGGTTCCCCCTTTTCAGTCTGGGGTACACCTCCCAAGGTGACCGGTTCCGCCTCGGATTGCCCGTGACTCGGTCTCAAGGGGTTTCAGGAGTGGCGTGAGCAACGTGTTCAAACTATGCTACACTATATTCTCGGCGTTCTGGGCATGCGTGATTTATTCGGATCTCCCAAGCGTCAGGGAATGCTCCATCAGGTACGGGACTAGCGTCTGCCCTAGACCCGCCCGCAAATTTGGTGCTTGGATCAGCGCAAATCACGCTAGTATTTTTGACATTGCACAATGGTACTCTGGAGTAATGTAGAATAGCTCAATTGTGTCGAGTGCAGTATACTGTAGCCAGGGGATGTCGCCAGATGGCGAGGCTCTCAGGTCGATGTTGCAATCCACGTTATAGGGCATCCATCTGGCGTGACTAATGACGGGTTTGGCACCGGATCGGCAAATGATGCAATCCCTTACAATACCACCGGAAAAATCTTCATGTATTTTTATTTCCCATTGAGTCATGAACCCTTGGATCGTGATCGTGACCGTCAATTCTGACATTCTGGGGCAGTACTGGTCTGGCATATTCCCTCTTTCCAGGTTTCCAGGGCATAATGTGACCTTGAGCCGTACTCATAGCAACGAGTGGTATACCCCTGATTCAGCGGTGTGATCGTAATACTAGATGTAAAGTATGCGATCTGGACACTTGGGCGATCAGGAAATGAGGGTTTTTCCTTCCAAGTTATGGGGTAATGCCCCACCGGTCTTAGCGCGGCGTCTGATGATTGGCTGTCTGTTAGTAACAGAAACCAGAGTCAGATGACTTTGCCAGGTGAGCGGCAAAGGGGGTTTAAAGCGGCACCGCCGAGCCCGTCCATTCGCTTGGGCTACCGCCGTCTGGGGGAATTCTCGCCCAATCATAGCGGATCTACCAGTCACAGGGGCGTTTCAAGGATGCCCGCGGATCCTAACAGGGCCGCCCAAGGGGGTAATTGAGGGGTGCCGCTACAGACCGATGACGAAGTCAGATGCCGTGAGGGTGGGGCCTTTTTTTTCTTTTATTTTTTCGATTTTTGAAAATTGAATTTTGCAAAATTAGAAAGCGCTTCCTATAAAACTCACCTGGCCCCGTTGCTAGGGGAGGCTCCATATTTCACAGCTTTTCATGGACTTGATATTATAGTAACAGCTTGCCTGTTTAATTCTTCTCTTTCGATTCTTTCGATTCTCTCGACATACACAGTCAACATGCCTTCAAATTACCGCGTTGTTGAACCGCACCCTTCCGTGCCACATGCGAGTCGACCGGCAGTGTACACTGGCCGTGGAGGATGCGGGAATGTCGTCAGTCTGAGGAACACCAAGACCACCGAGGCGCACACCGCAACCGGCCCTGCGTCCCTCACTCGTCTGGATTCGCGAGCCCCAACAACATTCACCTCGGGTCGCGGCGGTGCCGGCAACGTCCACAGCAGCAGTGAGCGCGCCATCTTCAGCTTCGACGAAGAGCTCGAGCGGGACATGCGCCGCGCCGCCCCCGTCTACCACGTCGGCCGCGGCGGTGCCGGAAACACCATGTACCGCGACGACTCCAGCAGCTCCAGCCTGAGCCGCAAGTACTCCGCCGCCAGCACGGCCACCAACTCCAGTACCGGTTCCGTGGCAGACCGCGCTCGCGACATGGCCCGCCGTGGTCTGGAGAAGGGCTGGGGCAAGCTCAAGGGTACCGCTTAAACGCTGCCTGTCCAAACCCTCTCGTCCGCGAGATCAACGACATTACGACAACCCAAAAAAGTTCTCTGCCTTTCTCTCAACTCTTCAAAAACATTCTATCCGATTTTTCCTACTTAATCTACCGGGATTCCTACGGACCCAGACCGAAACACCGAGCCAACCGAAGGTTGGTCTTTCACAAGACCCTCTTGATACCCGCCTGTTTCTTTCTTGCGTCACCGATACCCCGAACCGCGACTCGCGTTTCTTTTCTTTGTTCAATCTGTTCAGTCTTTGAGAAATCCCTCAAGCATGGGCCGGCGCTTCGTGGTCGTTTTTGTGCTTAAGCCAAGCCACTCGCCAGGTTCCGGAAACCCCGGTTTCCTTTCAACATCTATGTCACCCCTGGATTGCACCATCGTACAACTATTGTCTGGTCGCATCGCTCGGAGTCTCTTTTTGCTCTTTTCAACATATTCCCCAATAGCGCTACCCGAGCTACTACTTACTAGCCGGTACCAATGCATTGCAAGCTTGGGTTTCCCTAGCTGGATTCCAGATCCAAATCTTTTCCATTGTAGCTTACTGTATTACTGTGTCTTGAATTGTATTAGGTGCTTGAGTGGCGAATGTCGAATGTCACACCGTTGGGTAGTAGTGGTAGCCGCGGGTAAGCGAAGACACAAAACCGCCTCATGGATCACGAATCAGAGGGCCAGGTGGACTCGGCTGTCACTGTCACGTTGTAAGAAAGAATTTGACTGAAAAACTCAATTGACATTGCTGACTTCACTTTGCACACCGAAACCTCAGCCTTCACCGGAATAACGCAATTCAGTTAGTTTTCAGATTTTCAGTACCTGAATTTGACTCATCGGTGGATCCTGCCCAGGTGGTGTCAAAGACCTCGCTCTTTGTCCGGCCTACAGATCTACCATGGGGTTCGGTGGCAAGCATCATTGGCCAGGATTCTCCAGGGCTGTCGCCGATGATTCTTTGTAAGACTCCATCGTGTACATTCTAGACCGTATCCAGTGTTGTCAGCCTTGAAGTTCGAGTGGAATCTTACCCACATCTGGCCTAACAGATGTCTCGTCGATCCCATGTGCATCAAGGCAGAACTGAAACACCTTGCACTGTATCCAAGTTTTGAAAAATTAGTTGCAGATGCCAACGGAGGACAGCAAAGAGGGAGAATGTTGAGATTTTGATATACAGTACAGCCTACATTAGTCCGATGATCCCTTGCGCACACCGTAGAACTACCCAAGTACGTATGCAGACGGATTTACAAAAGCGGAATCATTCAAGTATTGCGGAGTCTATATGTAGGCTATGTCCACATGAAGATCCTGTCCGAGCAGGCCGGTTTCCAAGAGGCAGAAGAGGATGTATTTGCACAGAAAGTCAGAGCCAATGCCAAGACACAAACTAGATAGGAAAATGGAAACTGGGGTATCAAGAGTCGCGACGCAACTCGGATTCGTTGTGTTGGTCGATCGCGTTTCTACTGCACTGCCAATGCAGAGTGATCGATGAGTGTTGACAAGATATTGCTCTTGTATTTGAGGTGCCTTCAGGGCCGCACGAAGCCAGTGCCCATGGACTGGGGTGTTGACGAGGACCGGATGGCAATTGGAGGCTCACGGGGATGGGAGATTTTGGTCAAGAGCCACTCGATTAGGCGAATCGCTTGTGGATAATCTCTGGATCTTCGTGCCATTCGTCTGCGCTCACCCACATCTGGAAATTGTTAGTTGGCTATAAATCACCGAGGTAGGGATGTGCATACCTTTCTGAACGTGCTCAGGCCGGCAAGAATGCTACCTCCAATCCACGTGGTGTACTTCCGCTCAGCCGGGGCAGAGATGCGGATCTTCATGTCCTCAACTGCCAGCCGCTTGATCTCGCGCATCAACCGATCAGGGAAGTTCTTGCACAGCGTTGAACCACCAGAGAGCACAATGTTGAGATATAGCGATTTACGCAGGTCAAGATCTGTACGGGTGATGGCGTCTTGGACGATTTGGTGCACACCGGGATACTCGAGACCGATGAGCTCGGGATCGAAGAGGATTTCGGGGGCGCGGTAACGTTCTTGACCGATCTTGAGTGTCTTCGTTAGCTGGCTGTAATGTCTGGGCCGGGGCGATCTGGGCGATCTGGCATAAATCACTTACCTTGATCTTGTGCCCATCCGGAAGGGCATAGTCCACTGCTTTCGCATCGGATTTGTGATAGTTGTTCATCCATTCCTTCTCTTCTCGCTTCGGGTCTAGCGATACGTAGCAGACCTTCTCCTTGATCATGCGCACCACCTCCTTCTCAGCACTTGTGTGCAACACGTGGCCGGCCTTCCGTAGCAACAGCTGCATCTGCTCTGTAACATCACGACCGGCGACATCGATTCGTCGAATACTGTTGGGGATGGCGAAGCCCTCGAAAACGGGCACCGCGTGGGAAACACCATCTCCAGAGTCTAGGACCACACCGGTGGTACGACCAGACGCATAGAGAGACAGCACGGCTTGAATGGACATATACAATGCAGGCACATTGAAGGCCTCGAACATGAGCTGGGCCGCAATATCACGGTTTTGGCGTGGGTTCAGTGGCGGTTCAGTGAGCAGGACGGGATGTTCCTCGGGGAGGGTTTTGAGCTCGTTTTCGTAGACGTAGTGCCAAATCGACTCCATATCCTCCCAATTAGTGACGATTCCATGCTCGAGCGGGTATCGAATCTTTAAGAGCCCGCGCAGCTCTTGTGCGCGAGACCCGATGAACGAGTCTCCTTCCAGACCACCGGCCATCACCCGAGGGTGCTTGGGACGTCCAACAAAGGACGGGAAATAACATGATGGAATTTCCTCACCGGCAAAGCCTGCTCGGATCGTTCCGCTGCCATTGTCGATGACAATTGGCACGTTGTGGAGGGTGGCCTCAGCCATTGCGGGGAGTGTGGTCGGAGTTGGAATCGGAGAAGGCGCGGTTGGTTGAGACGGCCTCTCGGCCTGGGATGGCGAGTCAGGAGATCAAAGGGGCGGAGTTTGAGCCGGAGATGGTCGAATGTCGGTGGTTGGCGTTCCTGTCACTGATTCAGGAGTGGACGCGCAGCCGCTCGGGAATTGTCAACAAGGAGCTTGGGCCACTTTGTCCGCTCATAAATCGAACTACTAAACAACACTTGATGAACTTGTACACTGGAAATGCTATCAAATCTGATGTTTCGGTCCATGGATTCGAATGGAAATAATATCTAATCAACGCCATTAAGCCAGGGAGTTGTCCCAAATCATCCATAGCCTATAATGCAGAACAGGGAACTTGGCGTCCTCGCAGACGCTGCTGGATACTTGTCGCTTGGTATAGTCCAGGATGATTGAATCCCCAAGACAGCACATATTTCGAGTGTGTATACGGTTTCATGGCCGTCAGTCCATTTGGGCGAGCGAGCTAAAGCCCGCTGCATTTCTTAATCCAAGAAGCCCAGTTCGTCAGATATGTTCTCACACAGTGCGTCATTTCCAGATCGCGAGGAAAATACCTCGGCCTTCTGCGATTCAGCTTTGGCAATGGCACTCCCTATGTCCCTAGCCTGTTGTCAGCCAATCTGGTCACAAATGGGAGGGAAAGGGTGAGGTTGCTCACTGAATGGTACTGCTGACTGCGTAGTTGTCTTGCTCCAGCACATCGGCAAGTTCCTGCTGGTGATTATCGGCAAGGTCGGGGTTAGGAACCACAACTAAAGGTGTGCCCAAACGAAGTCCTGCCAAAACGGTCCCGCTTCCTGCATGACATTTAGATCTTCGAACGATTCGAAACCCCCAAAGTGTGGGTGAAGGTGAAAAGTCATACCGGCATGGCAGATGATCAAGCCACGCTCTTGTTGAGCTTGCTTCCTTTCTGTGGTCATGATCATTTCTGGTTCTATGCTGGGCTTAAAGTCGAATCCCCCGACGGTGAGCCCATGGTGAGATTTCCCGCTGGCTAGAAAATCGTTGTAGACTTTCTCGCCATCTTTTCCATACTGCAGGAGAAGATGGGTGTAGTGACGCTGTGCCAGGGCTTCCAGAAATGCCGAACTAAGCACCTGCTCGAGTAGTTTTTCGAAGGAAGCCGTCGCTCCGACAGTCACAAAACATAGCTTCATGGCGGAGCCCGGATCAAGTTAACGCGGTAGATATATGAGAGCTCGCAATGGTCATATTTGACGAGTTATGCAAAGGAAACCGTCGAGATGAATGAAATCAAGTAGCTCATACAAGAAGTCATCGTCAATGTATCAGATCACGTGGATGTGAATGACACTAGTCCTTATTGGGTAAGGTGTACGGCGGTGAACCTCGCAAAAGTGAAGTGGAAAACATCGTAGTTACGACCCCGTCCTTGACTCCGCGATATCCGCAACAATGGCTTCAGTAGCTCGGTCACTGGCTCAGCCAGCACGGTTCCTCGCCCGGAGGGGCCCAATTGTCTCTTCCATGCGGTGTTTCTCCGTCTCGCCGCTCAAGCGCGCCCAGGAAGACCCCGTGGTGCCGCCGCCCCCCAAAGAACGCGGCCCAAACGACTATCCCTCCGTGGCCGAGTACTCACCCGACCTTCTGAACAAGGAGGAGCGCTCCATGTATGACCTGATGTCCCCCGAGGAGCGCGCGGCTTTCGACGAAGAAAACCGCCATATGGTTGCCGAATTCAACGATCCCGTGAAGCGCGCCGCAGCCTTCAGTGAGATTGACCAGCTCGTACAACAAATCGACAAGGAAGAAGATATCCGATTCGAAGAAACCCGTTCCCGCCTGAGTGGTTTCTGGGCCGATGGTGAGCCCGATGAACTCGGTCACGTCGAGGATGGAGACGAAGAAATTCACGATGATGAAATGACCACTATGGCACACGCTGAGATCGAATTGCACCGTGAAATGAGAGAATACGCCCGTATCACAGCATGGGACATGCCCATGCTGAGCAGTTAGTTCAATCCCCGTCGATTAGCTTGCGCACCGACTAACCTGGAATCATAGAGCTTGCTGAACCATTTACCCTGCCCCCCGACACCCACATCCTCCGCTTCCGCTACACTACCTTCATGGGTGAAGAGCACCCGGGAGAATCCAAGGTAGTCGTAGAGCTTGCCTCTCAGGATCTGGTCCCCAAGTACCTCACCGAAGCCCAGCGTCAAACATTCCTCAAGCTGGTCGGCGTGCGGTACAACCCCCAAACCGACATCGTCCGCATGGCATGTGCGAAGTACGACCACAGTGCCCAGAACAAGCGCTACTTGGGCGACATTGTGAATTCTTTGATCAAAGAGGCCAAGGAAGGTGATTCCTTCGCCGATATCCCTCTTGACCTCCGCCACCACAAGCCTAAGCACCGAATTCAGTTCCCCGAGGGCTGGAAGATGACCGAAGCCCGCCGCAGCCAATTGGCTGCTCGCCGCCAGGAGCGTCTGACTGCCGAGGCGACACGGGCAGCCCTGGTGGATGGTAGCGCGGTCTTGGCCAATGCTGTCAAGGTACTGCCTTCGCTCAACCCTGCCCTTCAGGCCAAGGCTGAAGAGGAGCGGGGACGTGTTGCCCTGAAGGTCGGTGCTGGCAAGAAAATCGGCCGCCGGTGAGCGATGTCCGTCAACTGTATATTGGGTGCTGGAAAAGCTGTTGTCAGACATTTGCGAGGCGCGGGCGCATTATTCAGGATTTTTGGCATTTTTATTTATTTCGAATGTACTATAGTCACATCGTTACTTGTTCCATTCATTGGCCACTCGCTAATAGACTCTGTTACTGTCCTAAATACATGCTTCCATCCTCGTAGAACAAACATTGGTACGGGGGATGTCTACATTGCCCGCCCGCACATCAAAAAACTCTTAGTGAGAAGATATTTACTCTGGTAAAAAGAACAATTGGAGAAGCTCATGGTGGCTAGCGGAGTAAGCAGTAAGTGAAGCATCTAACCAAAGGGGACCCGCCAAGAACCAAGACCATCGAACCTGGCGGTCTCCACCTCCGATCCTCCAACAAACCTCCGCAATTCATCAGAATCGCCCAGGGATTGGTCCCACCCTATCCGGGGGGCCATCCCTGGGGATTTCCAGATCGATCGTGATCTTCACCAGAGAACGCAACTCCTATCGCCGCACCATTGAAATCATCTAGCGTCACTCTAGCGTCACTGTCGCTGTCGTCGGTCGGAGAACGGAGTCTGCCAAGCCATACGAAATCTAGAGAAAACAACCGAGCCGCACCGATTCTTCTCAACGTGGTCAGCTGTTGGTCTCACACCCTCAGGTAAGATCAGTACCTACCTGCATTTTTTTGTGGTTTTCTTCTTTTCCTCACGTCACCGGAGCAGGGGGCAGGGGAAAGGGGAAATGGGCAAGCGGCAGGACCGCAGTCAATGAACCATGAACCACAATGACGAATCAGGACTGAGATCTCAACCGGGCGTGTTGTCTACCCAGCATGTCTTGTCCGCTATGGTGCGTCCAGCGCAAACCAAAGCAATCGTCTAAACATTAGTGCCGGGGAGGTACTCCCCAAACACCGTCTTGTAGCATCTGTGAGCAGCATCAGTGCTGTCCTCACATGCGTTCTTCAGGATAGGTCCACCCACCGGACCCCATTTAGCTCGGGTTTCATTGACACCGAGTACAACATCCTCATGCGACACCAGGTCCGAAACAGACTGCACATTCGTTCTGCGAGTTTCATCGTCGCTCTCGCTTGAAGAGAATCCCGATGCCTTCCGAGCGCCTCGTTTGAAGGAAATGGGTGTGAAAGGTTCACCAAGGGGGGCTGGAATCTTAACACTGGCTTCCGAAGACCGGTTGGGGGTTTGAGAGAATTTGAGAGTGCTGCCACGGCTCGCTTCGGTACTGAAGTCATCAGCGACCTTGTTGTCACCAGAAAGACTACCGACACCAGCTCCAAACACAGGGTTGAAACCGGCGGCCACTTTTACAATTGAAGTCAGTCTGCTGCTCTCATGTGGACAGGGAAGGGAGGGAAGGGCAAGGGCAGTACCTCCATATGAACCAGACTGGAGAACTCCATGCATCACGGGAACTGGCTCGGTAGGACGACCGCGCTCTGTTTCCATCAGTACGCCGAAAATTCCATGCGAGAACACCATGGGCTTACCAGAAATCTGCTCACCAGCCCATTCGCGAGGAACTTGGGGGCGGGGCGAGTTGACGAATCGACTGCGTGGGGCACGGCCTTTCCAGCCACCAGAACCTCGTCCACTTCCACTTCCACTTCGGCCACCACGGGATGCGTTGAAACTCCCAGCGTGGGGGTTATAACCAGCGGGACCTCGAGGGGGGGTTTGGTACAGCTTGGTGGGACCAGCGGAGGTACCACGTCCATTACCAGGCTCAGCTTCGGCCTTGACAGCGACGACATTGTGCTCAAGAGCACGCACAGGAGTGTTTGCGGGGATCGGGGCGATGGGACCGGGACGACGAGACGCATCAGTTGACCGGTCGAGAGCCAGCACCTCACTGACGATGCTGGGCACACCATACTTCTCTCGATACCAGCGTGGGATATCTCGCAGACCAAGTTTGGCCACGCCTGCAGGGTCCAATGGCATTTCGTGTCGGAACATACATCCTGTGCAGAACGGTCAGTGGAGTTCAAAGTGTATTTCCAACACCACTTGCCTTGCTGGCTGTAATCACACTCTCCGTGACGAATCCAGAAGGAACAGAACTCCTTCTTGTTTGCCTGCGAAGGGGTAAAGAGTCAGCTGTTTGAAAATCAGGATCTCAAGTGGGCAGCTCAAACTTACTCTGCCGGTGGTTGAGTGGACCTGATGTCCAGCAGTCATAGGAACTACCGCAGCCGATGGGTGTAGGCCGGTGTTGGCCGCCGTGACGTTTGGAAGAGGTGCGTTGCTTGCACCAGACTGCCCAGCAGATCGGTCTGTATTGCCTGACAAAGCTGCTGAAGCGATCGAGCGAATGCGTGCAGTGGCACCCTGGTCGTTGAGGATAAGCACCAAGGCCCTGTGAAGTGCCTCGATGCTTTGGTTTCCTTGGAGGTCGTGGTAGATGTGGGCTACCCCTCCAACCCCCAAGGCCTCCTCTCTTGGGTTGGCCAAACCGCAGCTAGTCATGCCCTGTGTGTCAACAGCACTGATCTTCCGAGGAAGATCTTTAACAGTCACCCCCGTGGGGAACTCATCAAGTGGTACAAGGGGAGTGAGTGTCCCGTCAGGACGGGCACAAAAGAAAAGCGCTGGCAAAGGCGCCATCTTGATCGATACCAAGATGGTTTGACGATGCCAGATGAATGAATGATGGTTTAAGGATACGAAGCGAAGATAAGAATGTCCTCTTTATTGCAGAGGGAAGTGGCGAAGTCAAGATTGGAAAGGGTGGGAGAAAAGAAAAGAAAGAAGAAGTCGAGAGAAATCGAGAGGAAAATGAGGCAGCCCTCCACGTCCTGGCCGGAGACAGCTGACTTTTGTTCGGACGACTTATTCACTTGCTCTTCAATTTCATTCACCTTGTGAAAAGAGCACCATGGATTTGATGTCTGCGCATTCAACGGGTACTTTGGAAGGAATGGCAGAGCGAATATCTTTTACAGAAAAGTATCGTTTTACGAGAAATGCAACCATTTTTCTAGCGGTATACAGCGGCTGAAGAGCGCAGGAAGTAACGCCATTATGATTTGAGTAGAGTAACTGCCCTGCAATCAAGGCTGCATCAGACTGCCTGATCTAATTCAGAATTGGGGGATTCTAGAGGCTTTGCTACAGATCCAAGCCTTGGCTTTGTATGGGATACAAAAGAATTCATATAGCGGTAGGTATGGTCCCAAAAAGCAGTGAATGTTGGGCAGTAGCAGTCGATCATGGGGTTCATGATAAGTACTACCTTCGCAGCGCTTATAGAACATTGGTTCTGGCAGGAGACAGGCGCGAGGGTTCTCTTCAACACGAGCAGGCAGTGGAGACAAGGCAAATGGAGCCCTGAAGACCAGTAGCAACAGGGATTATGAAGGTCATGGCTCATACCCTCTCCATAGCAATCATATCACATTGACTGGTAGGCGAAGGTAGAGCACGCGAACTGAAGCCCTGAAGACCCAACGATCGAAACAGAAACGGACTAGAACGAACCCCAAGAGGCCTCGATCGACGCGTCTCTCAACTGAATAAGCGTAGATGTAGGTTACGAGCGGTGCCCTCAACGACCAGTAGACATCAGGAGCGCTTCTGGTCAGTCCGCTAGCTCGATCCAAGCATTTCGGATCTCAAAATGGCCCTGATGCCCGCGAGGGTTGTGCGGTTCGGGTGGGGACGGTTTCGTGGGAAGTATGTCGGCATGGGATGCTATGGATGGCAGAGACAAATCTCGCAGAGTTTGCTCCTCTCTTCGTCAGTATGAAAACCTTTGCCTGGACTGGAAGACCACCTCGTGGAGCAAAACATAGACGCATGTGGTCCAAGGAGTTGATCGGAGCAAGTATTCTGAGTTCCAAGGTTGACAGGTAGCTTCGAACATCACGGGACTGGGAGTGTGAGCTTGCTTGGCAGGCTGGAGAAGATCCACGACCTAGTAAGTTAACAGCTTACATCCTTGAGGATGAGGCAGTGAAGACGTCCATTTCACCAGTATAGATCGAAATATGCTTCCAGGACCCATGGGAAGCCCTTCCAAGCCATGGGCCATGCGTGAGCCTCTAGCACCGAATGACGTCCCTCATTTCCATGGAGACCAATTCCTTCCGCTGCATCAGATACAATTCGAGCGTGTTCGGCGCCGAATGGCTTGGTACGGTTGACAGAATGAGGGTTGGGATTCAAATGAGCATGTGGGTGTCTATGTCAGAAGGTCAGCGATGATAGGAAGCTCTCAACGGTCAAAAGACATCAACTGTCGACGATCCACGCAGTCAAGCTAGTCATTGCCTTGGGTCTTTTCATGGTTAGTTGATGACTGTGCCAAGCAATTGTCCTCACCGTTCGCTCTTGGGACTCTGAGACAACTTTGTGGAGACGAGAAGACATGATCAACATAGGTACCAGTATGAGCTACCCAGGCTTGAAAAGCTCCAAGGCTGCGAGATTGATCCAGCGCCCCGAGACGAATGTGGTGCTGGGAACATGGAGCTCAAATCGTGAGTGTGTTTCAACCGTTCGTTTGTTTGCATCCTTGGGTCATCAAACGACTACGACAGCCAGTCAGACGGCAGCCAGTCAGAATTGACCAGCGGGATCTTTGACCAACCGACGGCATGGAGGGCTGGACTTTGAAGCCCTGAATATTTGAAGAGTATACAACTCCTTGATTCCCATACAATATCTACGACCTCGGAACTGGAACCAGAATTGCTGACACGTTTTTGACACGTATTTCCTTAGATCTCACGAATTCCTACGCTTCCTGAATCATACCCTACTGGAAACTATTTGTTGAGTATGGTTTCAACATGAGCCAATGCGCTGAAGGATTGTTCTCGGGTCCTGGAAACCCCCTTATTGTCATCGATGGCATTGCTCGAGATGCGATGCATCAGCACAGTCCCGACTGGGGTATCTCTGAACCGAGAGAGCTTCAACATTACCACATGGCTATCGAGGGTTCAAAAGCTGCTCCAGCAA